TAGATTATGGAAGCCATTATGAATGGAGCCGGCAAGGCAGAAGTAAGGTTGTATGATCTAAAGTAATCAAAACTGGATGGTGAACGTGATGATGATGGTCTGATCTCAACAAGAAGCTGACAAGTCTACAGCGGGTGCCCGTCCCTTTTCTAGAGCAACCCAACTTCCTCACTTTCAAAAAATCTCCTCATCAGAGCGAGCAACTGCTCACCGTCAATGTTGTCTTCGGCACCGACGATTCCACTTCGCAAAGAGCTTCAAACCCTCCCAACCGTTTGCGGACATCGATGAAGCGACCACGGGTAGTATTTCGCTGTCATTGAAGTCCCGACTTGCCATCGAGAGTCTGGATTTTGTCTGCCAAGAGCTCAAGTCGACTTCCCGATCTCTCGGAAGTCGAACTTTCGTAGTCGAGCCCACGGGCTTCAGTGACACCACGTCCGGAAGAGGACTGCTTTCGGTCGCGCTGAAAAAAATGGACTGCTTAGACTGAATCGAACATACGATGGTGTCTGTAAACACCTGTTGAGTCCCTGAGATCGAGAACATGAGCCCGAATCGGACCTAGTCGATGCAACACAACGATGTGTCCATCACGACTTTTGCCCAGGGGCGTAGAAGACGGCAAGACGGACGACTTCCTCATCCGGCCACACGTGGTAGGGCCCGAGGGACGGTAACGCTAGAAACGCCTCGCCCCCGTTCATGAAGCGAGTCGGGATCCCCAACGACGCAGGTGGCGCTACGGCTGTTAACCCAGACCCATCACGTTGAGGTGAGACTATGTCTCGAATCCGCAGCCCGCATTGGCCGCTATTCTGTCGCTCGGCTACAATAGTTAGTCTTGGCCACCACGTTCTTCAACAGACGCTAGTCAAACCACATGGGCGTCAACGAGCCCAGCCAATTACTGTTCCTGCGTCCCATCATCTCCACGGCCCTTTTCGGTCTCAACCTGGCTCGAGGCCTTCCCAGAACGGATTTTGGCACCGTGGTTCCCAACCGCGACGGCAGATACTGGCAGACTGTACCAACTCTGCAACACGTGGGAAAGCTGCGAACGGCATGCCAAGCTTGGCAGCCACGCCGCTGCAATGCTTGTCGTCGGTTGCGCGGTCAATCTCCCGCGTGTCCAGGCCTTTTTCCCTGTCGATCACTAGCGGTCCGGCCGCTCGCTGGTCGCGGGGTTTTGCAGTCGTACGACATGCCTGGTCGTTGGATCTCTCTTGACATTACGGACCCTCCGGGGCTTGAGCTTGGCCTGGCAACCGTTCTATTACGGTAAGTATAGGAATAGGCTCGTCTGGATGTTCACGCGATGTCTGCAAACAGACGTCGTAGCGAAGGGGTCCAACTTCGCTACCGCATCCCTCTCTTTTCGCCACGTCGCATCTCGATGGCAGTATTTTTCTGTTGAGGAAAAAAAGTCTTTCTGGACAGTCCTTTGCACAGTTGGCTCTTTATCTTCCCCTTCCCTGGACAAGCACAAGACCCTTGGAGAACTCTCACCCAAGCGTCCCTCCATCACTTCTTTATCCAAGTCTGTTTTCCACCCCTGTACACGACCGGGTGATCATCCAACCGACTTAATCATGCCTCAAACAAAGGATCATGGCCTGTCTATTGACATAGAGGCCGGTCCATCTCATGCCGCTTCTTCTTCCACCGCAACATCATGCCCTACGACACCCAGGTCACCCCCACCTGTGGCCTGTCACTGGGACAAGAATTCCTCCAAGAGCCATACCAGAAGTTCATCTTCCACCTCTATGGCCGTGTCCCCTACGGCGAAGAGGAAGTTCCACCATCCATTCAGGAGCCTTTCCAGACAGTCGTCATCAGCTAGGACTTCAGCGGAGGCTCCTCCTCTTCCGGCTGTAGACCAGGTGCTCGATGGCTCAGCTGATGTATCTGAAGAAGATCAAGGAGGGCCGAGTAACACCCAGCCTGAATCCCTCCCGGCACCATTGACTGTAAGTCATTTCTCCACTTGACTTCCTTCATCGGCATGTCACCGAGCACTCTCTGCCTTTCTTATCCTCCAAGTTATTACTTCTCATACTTGACATTAAGACAACTTGTTCTTGTTCAATCTAACAAACGACAGCGCCCACCCCCTCCCCCACCCATCTTTGGGTCTTTCTCCAGCAGCACATGCTCCTTTCAATCTAGCATCTCACAGGAGGATGCCAAGCCACCATATCACCCAGACACAGAGCTCAAGAAGGTCTCGCGCTCTCTTCTGCGCCTCCAGAAATACAGTCTCATCCTGGGATTTGTCTCCATCAATGCCGGCTTTATCTGGGCGCTTTGGAATTATCACCATTACTGGTATATCTTCCTGCCTTTCTTGGCTGCCAACACATTCTGTCAAGTAATCTTTGCCATCTCCAACACCATTGCAGCAACCTTTACCACCTTGAGACGGAAGCTTGGATTCAAGAAGGATGTCGTCCCCGAGAATCCCGAAAAGTTTGTCATGGTCCTGCCCTGCTATAACGAAGACCGTCAAGAGGTGGAGACGAGTCTAAACTCCCTCATCAACCAGCAGAACATTGATGAGCACCCACGCCTCATCATGGTCATTGTTGACGGCAACGCCAAAGCCCCAGGCGAGGAGGTCTCTACTCAAGACTTCCTGCTGAACGACATGTTTGCCGGCGGCGAGCGCATCGAGTTCCAGAATGGCTACAGTGCCCGTGATGGCTTCTTCATGCCTGTCACCATTCAGCAGGGAAAGTACCGTGGCGTCCCTTACATCATCATCGGCAAGAAGCACAACCAGGGGAAGCGCGACAGCTTGTGCTTCGTCCGTTCATTCCTGTGGCACTACAAGAACCGCTCGGCCGACATCTCAACCATGTTCAACCCGGACCTGTTTGATTACATGGGTTCGATCTTGACTGACAACGGCCTGGACACAATCGACTATCTCTGCGGCATGGACGGCGACACTGTGTTTGATGACGACTGTGTGTACGAACTCATTAAAGCCTTACGCCGTGGCGGTCCTGATGTTGTCGGCGTGTGCGGCGCGGTCCTCGTTAAATTTGACGAGAAGCCGTGGGGTTGGTGGTCAGTACTCCATCTCAGCCGCCTTCTTTGCGTGGTTCATGGCAACTAACCTACGGAATAGGAACCTGTTACAAAACACAGAGTACAACCTGACGCAAGGATTGAGACGAGAATTTCAGTCTCGCGTTTCTGGAAAGGTCAATTGTCTACCGGGCTGTTGTCAGCTCATCCGGGTTCAAGATGCCACATTCGGCGATGCAGTCCTGCGGGAGCGTTTCGGCCACGTTCCCAAGCCCAATGACACCATGACCCAGCAGATCATGGGTGTTTACTCTGAAGACTCGATCCACGCTTCCATCATCTTCTCCCGCCATCCCAAGTCGCAGACTCGCCAGGCTCTGCGTGCTCGTGCTTACACGACGGCCCCTCAATCATGGTCCGTGTACCTCTCGCAGCGCAAGAGGTGGGCACTCGGCAGCAAATCGAATGAGTTTGTCATGGTCTTCCGTCCAGGCATCATCTGGGTTGAACGGCTGTGCTCGTTCATCACGGTGACAACCTGGTGGCTGGGCCCATTCGTCGTTGCGGCCATGTTTGGCTTTGCGATTGCGCTGGTGCGACAGGGAAAAAAGATTTTCGAGAACCACATCATGATCGGGTTGATGTCTGTGCTCGCATTCCGCTATGTAAGTTGTCTGAACTCATCAAAACGTCTGACACTGTAACTAATGAATGGCAGCTATACTCTTTGCTTATCGTCACGTGGTTCCCGCACAACAGGATGGCACGCATCAGGTTTTTGGTCGGCTTCTTCATTTATCTGACCTGCTCGCCATTCATGAACGTCGTTGTCACCATCTATGCTTTACTCCATTGCGACGAGTTCAGCTGGGGCAAGACGCGGGCGTCAGTGGGCGACGAAAACGGTGCAGGTGGGCATGGGGCACTGCCTGACCCTGAACAAGCCGCCAAGGAAAAGTTCAATGAGAAGATGCCGCCTGTTTAAGAAGGAAGAGATCAAAAGGGGATATGGAATTTCTTAGGGTCTGGGTTCTAGCATTTTAGACAGCGATGAGTTTTGTACGTCATTCGGCCACACTCCGATGCTACCCCGGCTCGTGAAGCTATAATGGTAGTTTTGACTGGTAAAATCCAGGTTCGTGCAAACGATGCCATCTTCTACTAAGAAAAATCCCATGATTCTTGTGAGTCGAGAACACGCCCATCCGCTGACCGGTCAAGTCGTTGGCCATCGTCCGAGAGCAGCAGCGTCTTTGACCATGTTGGCCCTCGGGCAGTGGTCCGCAATTTGCGCCGGGCTCCGTGATGATATATGGGCCCTCCGGCCGGAAAGTTAGGCGTGACCCCTGTCCGTTCCTTGGATGCTTTGGAGCCCGCGATGGTTCGTGAGCTCCCTTGACGACATGAACCCGGCAGTCGAAGCAATAAGCAGTACTGTCCAGTATTGGTTCACGCAATGAGGATTCATCCGAAGAAATGTCCATCTGCTGAATGTCTCGACAAAATTCTTCTCTCACCACTGGTTCTGGAGGTCAATCGATGCCAGGTCGTGCTGGCGGATGAGGACAGGGGGCATGCTTTAGCGCTGTCAGTCGTGGTTTCAGCATCGCCAAGCGCCCCCTTTCCTCTTGATGAGGGGTTCAGAGATCGATGGCAAGGGTCTGCCTTGCCATCAGACGAAACATTGACGAGCTGCTGCCAAATCCTCCTGCTCTCCTCTGTCTAAAGGAGAACAGCGCGGCTCCTGGTTTCGAAGGCAGAGATAGGGCAGCAGGGATTCTCCCGAGAGATATCCACGGCTGTGCACCCTAGATATCATGTCCACATTGGCATCGCTTTCGCTTTGATATTCTAGTATTTGTCGAGTTGTCGCTCTGTCTTCTTGGTCTTAGAGAAGCACCATTCAACTTGCATTGTCATTCCTTTCGCATTGTATTTAGTCGGCGTTCAACTCACCCGCCACCATGTTTTCAATCCCTTTAAGAATATCGCTCCTGTTTGTCTTCATACTCCAGTGTCTCCAGCCGCCAGTCTCTGCCGAGTTCCGCGTCACCTGTGCTCCGTTCAAGCGGGAGCGCATCGACCCGCTCGCGACGCCCGGCAAGGAGAACGGCCACATGCACAGCTTCTTCGGCAGCCGGGGCATCGGTCCGGACGCCGTCACGGCCGACGAGCTCCGCGCGAGCTGCGGCAGCTGCAACGTCCAGGCCGACCGCAGCTCCTATTGGATCCCCACCCTCTATTATGGTGAGTATTTTCAGCACTTTGCTGGACAGAAATTCCTTGCTGATACAGCATTATCGAAGTGAGCAAGAACGCCACGGTTCCTGTCAAGGTAGCCATTTTTCACGTGTATTACCACGGCCAAAGTGCCGACCGCCAGCCCTTTCCCGCCGATTTCTCCATCATATCGGGCAATCCCAACCTGACTGAAGACGAAGCCCGCGCGCAAGGCGGCATCGGGATGGAATGGGTACGTTCAACCGCCCTCCACTCTCCAGGCTACCTTACCGTGTACACCACGACGGTACGGGACACGAAACTGAACAATTAAGATTGACAACGGGCTTGGCAGGGATTCGAAGACTCATCTGAGGAAAAGGAAGCCTGGCAGCTCCCGAAAAGAAAAGGCGGTGGCTGGCTGCGCGGCAACATTGGGTTTCCCACATCCGTCGTCAAAGACGAGTCGCTCGGCCGGCACCGAGAGTGCGCACACAACGACGAAGCGGGCTGCTTCAACGTCCTCCGCATGTTCTTCGCCATCTGGTACGACCTGCGCGACGACTGGTTTGACTTTGAGGACGGCGCTTACCTGACTCTTTCGTCAGGAGGGGGTGAGGAGCACGCCAACCAGCAGGCCGCGTATTTGAGAGAAGCTCATCTGACGAGAACAGGCCACACGTATCATGGCGATTTCATCAACGGCTGGGAGCCCAGCATGGCCGAGCAGATTGTCCGCGACACCAAGAACTACGTCCAAGTGGGCGAGCCATCGGCGGCGCGGCGGGCGTCGCCCGGAGCACAGAGTGCCTGAAGCTCGACGAAGGGAGTCCCTCGCTCCGCGATCTCGACTGGGACGCCATGGTCGAGGCAAAAGCCGGCCACGGCACCGTCGAGCTGGGCGTCTACGACTACGAACTGACTATCACAGACGGAAAGAGCATGAACGCCACGTTCAGCGGTAAATGGGGAGAGGAGGCCGCGGCGGCGGGCGCGGAGAGTGACAGGCCTGCGGGGGACACCGACACTGCTGCGGCCGCGGCAACGTCGGCGGTCTCTGTCGCGCACAGGCCTGTGGGGAGTTCCGTGGCTGCTGCGGATGCCTCGGCCTCCAGCGTGGGACGTGCCGAGTCTGCCGGCGTCACGGCCGAAGCATCCTCGGCTGCCGCTGCCGAGACGACGGGCGCCAGCAGCGCCAGCAACGCGCTGCCGACTGCGTCTGCTGATGCCCTGAGCAGCATCACGTTCGTGCCTGGGGAGAGCACGGCGGTCATCTCCTGGGTTGAGACGCGAAAGCCCGTCCCTACAGCCTGTGCGAAGAAGAACAAGAAGAGAGCCGTGAAGCTGGAGCTTTGAGTGTGACCGTCATGGACGAAGTTCCAGATCCATGAGCTCCAGCCTGACCGTACTTACCAGGCTGTTCGTCCACCCAGTTCTTGGTTGTTAGTTTACCCTGGCTGCGTCAACAGGCAACTTGCCGGCATGTTACGTGTGTCTTGGCTCTGGCAAGCGGGCATATCATTCTTTTGTACGTATCATTCCAACCAATGAGCCGTTTGCCGAAACGAAGCAGAGCAGAGCTTTCTCTGTAAGCATTATTTTGACAGAGACTACGATGACTTGATTTCGAGCCTGAAATGTCTTCAAGTTCAAGTCCAGGAATGGAACGACACGTTGACTCGACTTGGCTTGCCAAGGCGGTAGGTTGAACTTAAGCAACCATAGTTGCTGCAGCCCGGCTCGTGGTTTGGCACATTGAACGCACTTGAGACCTTTGGCCAAGTTTCACCATTGAGACATCTCTTACGTCGCGCCAAGACATCATAAAAGCCACGTCGGTGTAGGCTTCGTGCAGTGGTCAATCACGTTGACCTGATTCACCTGCAAAGGTGAACCCAGACCGACACATCCGAGAGCTCCGGACAGACCTTCGCAGCACCACTGATCAAGTTGTTCAGATAGACAACCGTGCCAATTTGGTCACAGCCTAGATCTCGTTACGGTAGACACCACCTCATAAGACTTGGTTGAATTCCTTGCGTATACGGTTGTAGAGAAAATGACAAATCAGCGTCAGGCTGGCGGTAGGAACGCGGAGAACAGCGCTCCCTGGATCATAGCATACAGCACGGCATACACCACGACCCTGCCGCCCCAAACCTTGGCTCCCTGCTTGTCTCCTGCTAAGCACCCCGCAACCCAGATGTACCACACAGGGTATCCAGATGCCAGCCTTGTGATGACCTGCACATGGTAATTGGACAGGGCTACGACAGCCAGCAGGACCTGCAAAGCAGCCATGGAGCGTATGAGCACCCCAGTGCGCAGGTCCAGCTGACGTGCCGATCCTCCCACACCGCCTGGCGAACGTAGTACGTCAACACCTGACTTCATCATGATGGACAGCATCGGGATGGCGAGCAGGAAGAGAGGCAGGTTCGAGAGGGTCCAGTACCGAAGAAACCCGACACCCCTGTCAAAGTCAGCTTACATGGTACCCTATCAGACTGAAAGCAGTTGGGGGAGGGGAGGGGGGGGCATTACCAGTAGTGTGCTTGGACAAAGTTGTAAATACTTGGCAGGGCATTGGCACACCAGGGACGTGGTTCGGATGCGCCGGAGCAGTAGCGCGCATAGGCGATGGTCTGCGGGACGATGGAGCCCGCGGCCACGAGAATGCCACCCAACAAGGGCCCGACAAGGGAGAGTGCGTCGGGGATCTGACTACTCGCGTCGAAGAAGGGCTGGAGGACGACGAGGGCACATTCAGCTGCGAAGGGCAGTCCGTTGAGGATGCCGTTTGAGCGGAACGTCGTCGAGATTCCGAATACGGCGCCGGCTACCAGCTGGAGACCGGTTCTGGAGAGATAGCTCCTCGACGCCTGAGAAGCCTTGGCGAGCACGAGATAGCCAACGAAAGACAGGAACGCAAAAGAGCTCTCGGCATAGGGCGCAGATAAGAATAGGCCAGCCGGTGAGAGGATATGCATGAGGGCGCTGATCAGCGGCAGGTGCCGCTGGGGGCCCCAGACGGTGTGAACCAGCTCATACAACGTGAAGACGGCTGCCAAATGAGCACCATGCGCCACAAAGATGGCTATGGCGGCTTCAAAAGACCCTGAATCGGTGGCAGGCACAAGGCCGAGGAACTTGGCCGGGCGAGCGAGGGCGGCCACAACGGCGGGGAGACCAGGCCCAAAGGCCCACTCCTGTTCGAAACGGTAGCCATGCTGGGCCGAGCTTGTGAAATAAATGGCATCCCAGCGGGTGAGCCGGGTGACGAGAGAAAAGGCGGTGGATGACTCGACGCGGTTGAGGGCGAGAGTGGTCGAGGTATCATACGAAGAGCCAGTCAAACCGCTGGCCAGCGCGACGGCGAGGAGAAGGCCCTTCCAGGCCAGAAATGCTGTGAAGAGGGTTTGTCGCGGGTTTTTGGTGTATTGGGTGAGACCCCCGGCAGTGGTTGAGGTTGAGGCTGTGGACGCCATGATGATGTTTAGCCCCCTCAGGGAGAATGGCGAGGCTCGCTCCGAGGAGTCGATGTCGTGGGGGGCACACGATCTGTCGACCCCGTGTCGATGACCGTACTGGCTAGACTGATAATGTCCAGACAATTGGCTCAGCCAGAACGCAGCCGACGCATGAACCGTTCGGGAAGGAGCGGAAGGTCCCGGTACAGGTCGCCGGCGAACAAGCCAGATTGATGGCTGGTCAGAGTCGTGTGAGGTGTTTTGGCCGATGATGGAGTTTAGGTGGATGCCCCAAGCTAAGGCAGGTCCAGCTCAAGCTCCCACAGCTCCCAGCTGCCAGCTGCCAGCTGCCAGCTCCCAGATTCCAACTCCACGGCAACTTCGACAGAGAGCACGGGCCAAGGCAGTTGGAGGAAGGAACATTCCACGGATGGTTCCTGCTGGATGGTTAGGTAATCCCCAAGCTGTCAAGGGTCAAGGCCGAGCCCCACGTCGGTCGCCCAAAACCCACCACGGTCACTAGGTACATTACAGTACAGAACCAAGCCTACAGGTACCTCGCCGAACTCATGCCAGGCCCCATCGTCGCCAGGGCTTAATCGGTCGGCGACATGGCAACCCCGTCTCCGAGCGTCTAGCACTCCACATGAAGGAAGACGCCGAACCTGTCAAATGCACAAGAAACTGCCCTACAGCTCGTGGTCAGCCGGCTTTGCAGATGACCGAACCGTGCCATCAGCCCCTGTCATCTTCAATGGATGGCACTTCATGGAAAGCCCCATGCGCAAGGCCTCGATCAATGCAGCTCGCCATCTGCCAAGCACATATCCATCCAAGGTACCCTCCAGTAGCAAGCAGCAGCACGCAGCAGCCAGCCGCCCGTGTTCGCATTCGTCGCTCACCAGATTCGCGACTCGACATGCCGGCAGATCCGCTGCACGTGTGGGTGGGCGGGTTGGGCGGCAGCAGACTGAAAGCCCTACTTCATCAACCCTTTGATACCTCACCTAAGAGCAAGAACTCGAAAAGGAGAAAATAACCTAAAACCAGACAAGGGCCACAAATTCGACCATGAGATGGAACTCCTCAACGGAACGGGAAAGCTCTATCGCGTGGCCAAGCGGCGCGGGGAGCTTTGCAACAAGTAACTCGGCACCGAGGTCGCGACCCGGCCAGCCCATCGGTGAAGGGTCCTTGCACCGAATATACCCCCCTGGCGCATGTGGACGGATGGACCGGGGGCTTTGAAGAGTCCGTGAACACCGAACCTGGCCCACGCGACCGCCTTTTGGAAGGGAAACACATCGGCCTGACAGGGTGCCCGACTCCGTCTTGATCGCCTTGACACGGATCCACAAGCTAGGATTTTCTTTCGAAAGGCCAAACACGGGGGGGGAAGCGGGTGTTTTTGAGTCAGCTGGTATGAGGGGGGCTTGAGAGAAGAAGGCCCAGGGTGAGCTGGGCCGTAGGTTTGCCGTGGGGCTCTTCATTGTAAGTACCTACCTAGTGTCAAAGCCGCCGCGTTGCCCCGTGGCATGGGCATCTGCGTTTCCGAAGATGCCGGCGGTTTGGATGCTAATAAGGTCCCCCCCTTCAAGTGCCGGTGTGGGATGGGTTGAAGCTGGGCAGAATTACCTTGCACTGCATCTTCACGTTTTTGTTTTGACTCTCGACGTGGGAGGAAAGATTGGTCAAGAATCTGCGACTGGGTTGACGCAAAGCCGAAAACAAGTGCGCGCGTCCCTCCTCAGCTCTCTCGCATCCGTGACATCCGAAAACGACCATATCTGTACAGGCGTCTGCCTCGTTCCTCACCTCTCGACATCTGACGTCGTCACTAGTTCTGCTTCACTCTGGGCAGCCAAATCGACGACAAACATTGAGCTCTGATTGCCTAGCCTCAGACTCGACACTCTCCACTGTCAATTGCCATTCTCAACTCCACCGTCCAGTACGTCTTGTTCTTCTTATCCGCCTCGTGCGAGGGCCTTGGGAAGCCGACTTCTACCAGCCAGCCCGTTAGTACTGTTCGCTTTTCTGACCACCCTCTTTCCGGCAGTAGACCAGGCTTGCCCAACGTCATCCTCCCACAAAGAAAGGGCACAGCTCAGAACAGCCGCAGAAGCCCAAGACAAGCCAGAGCCCGTAGAGGCGCGACAGACGGTCAGGCTCTTCAGGCTCCCTCACATTGACTAGCAAGCATCAGACCACCTTGCGCCCAGCTGTGCTCGTCGCGTGGTCGCTGCTGGCACACTGCATATTGCATGCGCTGCCCCCCCTCCTCCGCGTATCTCGCATCGGACCTCGCACATCGTTCGCTGCTTCGCCCCCACATTCTGTAACGCCCAGTCATCCGTCAAAGGTGACACAAACCCGAGCTTTACGACTCGACAAACCTTGCCATCTTTCCTCCTCGTCGCACCATCCTTTGCCATTACAGCGCCTACTAGTAGAGACCAGACGGCCGGTCCGCAAACGCGTGCCAAGCGAGGGCTTTCGTCTGCGCGCGGGAGACACACTAGCCCCCGACCACAAAAGTCGATCAAGTGGGGGGTGTTTTTTTCCCATACCTACCTACCTACCTTAGCTGTCAGACAAGTGGCGTGCGTTCCCCTGCTGTCATCATCAGAAGCAAAGAGGGACGACGGCGCCAAGGCACGATTGTTGGGAACAAACGATCTGTGTCTGAGTGAGAACAGGTCAAAAAGCAAAGACGGTGCATCGAAGGAATCTGACCGCCTCTTCTGCACTTCAGTTGCGTGCACACGACGCGCCTCCGCCGTGTGCTGTTGCTGTCCATCACGCTTCTCTCTCTCAACCAGTCTGGATCGATCCAGTGCGTGTCACGGTCCTAGACGCAACATCTGTTGCTTTGAACGAGCTTTCGACACTTTGCCAACCTGCGGCCCCTGCTCGTGGCCGCATAGTCTCAGGATCGACAGCAGCCTCTCCATCGAGAGACGAGAATACCATCTCGCCGTCACCTCCATTCCTCCACTTGGCAGGCAGACCCACTGCATGAACGAACGCCAGACGGGGAACGCGAACGAAGGAAAGACGAACGACCCGCAATCCCCTACCAAGGATCGAGGATCGCAAACTTGCAATCCACCATCCAGACGGATCCTCGGACGAACCGAAACCGCGTACCACTCACTGTACCGTGTCTATCGTGCACCGTCACCAGCGCCGCGTTTTCGTTTCTTCGCGTCCACCGTCCAGGGTTCTGATCCCACCTCGACTGCTGCAAGAGCTCGACTTCTGGAAGAGCAGGCATCAACGACTTTGCTCTTACTAGTCCTCACTTGACGATTCAGGGACCGCCGTGGAAGCTGCATCTGGAAAGAGCCATCCTCCAAGGCGAGAAGGAAAGCTGCCGGTTGCCGCACGCTAGCGGTCTTTTCAAGACTAGCGTCCCCACCTCAGCCTGCCTCTGGAGCCAAGGGTCCCCCAGGTCGTCCCTTACTCGGGATAGTCCCAGCCCAGGTCCGATCCCATCGCATTCGGCACAAATCAGAGAAAAGGCACCGATCCTACGGCAGGTACCTGAGGTACAGGTACATACTGGTAGGCAGCAGCAATCGTCCTGGTTCGTCCGCAAAAAAACCATCCGGGCTTTTCCTTGCCATTTCATACACATAGTCGTTTTGTCCCGTTCGTCCTGACGTCTGTCTTCTCTTCGGCTTTCTCGCCTGTTCTCTTCGTTCTGGCCAGCAACAGTGCAGAGGCAGACGGACACAAGAAGCCACAAGCTTTCGTCTCAGGCGAACAAACCACAGATCACAGGGCAGACACGACCCAACCACGACGCCCCCCCGTTTTCCACCCTGGAGGAAGCTGCGCCCCTGAAAGGACGAATCATCAACTGGCCCGGGCCACTGTTGACAGGCCCCTTTCACTTGCCCCTTCCGTCTCGGCACCACGCCATTGGTCTCCTTTCCCCTCCCCAAGCCCCCTAACCCTCGAGGCCCCCTCCCCCCTAAAAAAACCCTTAACCCCCTGTGCCCCTCGCCCGAATCGGAGCTTGCCAGCTTGGGTGCAGCCTCCCGTCAGCAGATCATCCTTCTGTCATCCGCCCACGCGAAACGCCTGCACAAGGCTCGCAGCTCCCTCACATCAGCGCACAATTCGGGCTCTTCAGCTGCGCTACACCTGGACTTCTTTTGCAAGGTCTTTTGCAAGGTCTTTCGCAAGGTCTTTCGCAAGGGGGTCTCCGTTGCCCATCCGACTCGGTCATTTGCTGAGCCTCAGGACAAGCTGACCCGGTCGCCCCAAGTACATCGATTCGCCTCGACCTCGTGTGCCACCATCCAACCTCCAACCCACCGACGGAAACCTTCCTTCTCTCCTCTTGTCGACTGTCCTCTTCACTTCTTTGTCATTCCGTCCATTCTTCACTTCTCACGATTTCCACAGTCCTAGTTTTTTTCTTCCCTTTTTAACCTTTTCGCTTGCGTCTCCTCCTTTCCCCTCGTTCCTCACGACGCACGACGGAAACCCGAGCTATCCGATACTACACGAATACGACTATATCTGCTGCCACACCCACTTACAGAAACGCACGCCCTTCCCCGACTGGCTCGACGATACCCAATTCCTCACGCCGCTCCTTGTGGAAGAGGGCATATGCTCATCAATCGACTCGACGAGTGCACTCTTTTACTCGCCCGCCACGTCCGCTGCGCAGTCCCAAATCAGCGTGCTGGCGATTGCGAGGCACCGTCTAGGTAGTCGCCAGATATGTTCCTTCATTCGGGGGCTGCGATGCACGGCCACGAATTCTCCAACAGATCCCCCTCCAACAGCCCCTCACCTTCGCCCTCACCTTCCGCCAACGCTGCCCACCGCCTCCGATCCGCTTTCGGCCACCCGCCAAGTCCATCCCCGATTGCCCCATTCGAAGCCGACCTGCCATCGCGCCGACAGTCGCTGAGTGCGCCAACCCTGTCGCCTTTGCCGTCAACGAGGAGACCTCGGCCCTTTTCCGATATTGCGCCAAGGAAAGAACAAATCGTACGATTCAACGAGAAGCCGATTATCGTGGGTGAACAGAGCGTACTTTCTCTTGATGGCAGTGTTAGTGAAGACGAGTCGGTCGTGTCCGACGTCCTGAGCGACATTACGAGCCAGAGCGGCACCATCAGGAGGAGGAGGAGACCGCGGAGCAGCTCCAAGCTCGCCACGAATTTCCTGCTCGCCTACCCGCCCCCGCGCAAGGTCACCAAGCAGCGACGCTTCGTGCAGATCCGGCCCAGGGTCATGCTCCAGCTGCAGCAGCTCTCGGCCGATAGGCGGCCAAAACCCACCCTCGATGTCCTGCCCACCAGTGTCTTGGCCGGCTCGCTCATCATCCCACGCCTGGTGCAACACTGTCCCAAAATGTTCAACGTCAAGGGCAACCTGGCCCAGGATGACCTTGTGCTCGCCAAGAGTGAAAATTATGATCTGCCAGAGGACCAAGATGAGGACACGAACGCCAAGGATCTTGACAAGAGGGACCTCGTCGCCATCATCTCCCCCATCACGCCGCGAAAGGAAGGTGAGCGACGGGCGTCGGCCGACGAGGTTGAGATTGTGCTTGCCGATGGCTCCGTGTGGATGGGTAAGCCGTGGGGCAATGGCTCTTACGAGTTTGTGCACATTGACGAGAGCGGCGTCTCCAAGACGGCGCGATGGGTGAAGAAGGGCGTCAAGGCCAAGCGGGACAGCTTTGGTGCGCCTTCGCCGCCACCAACGCCGGACTCGAAGTATATTTTCAGCCTTATCGACCCCACCACCAGACGACATCCCATCATGGCGACCCTGACATCTTCGAACCTCGAGGTTCTGGATCACTATGTTGCGCTTTCCAAGCCTCACGAGGAGGAAAATGAGGACGAGGATGAGCCGCCTCGGCAGAAGATGATGCGGGCCATGGACGATGTCGCTCGTACCCTGATCACCGTGACTGCTGTCTGGGTATCGCTGCGCAACAATCAGAACTGGCCCATGCGTGCACCTCGCCCGACGCTGCGGACAACCGGCAGCGCCCGCACTACGAGCATGGGTTCCGACCGTAGTCGCGCTTCGACGTTTCCCATGTCGGCCTCGGAGGTCAGCCGTCCTTCTTCGCCCGTATCAGTCGCGATGCCACAGACGAACTCGGCGCCTAAGCGGTCGTTGTCCATGGGTGCGGCGTACATGCAACGGCGGCTGGCGAGACAAGGCAACGAGACGCCACCTCAGAACGAGACGCCCACCGAGGGCGATGATGTAGAGGACCCGAAGATCCTGGCTATCGGCGCATCGGCGAAGCTGCAGAAGAGAAAGTCCATTTGTCGCCGGGTCCGCGACTGGGGCCACCGCATCACGCACTCGAGCAAGGAGAAAGAGACGCAGAAAAGAAATTAGGCCGGGCTAGACCTGGGAGCCAGAACCACCAGCTGGCTGGGGCATGGGAGCATTTGTTGGACATTACGGCGCACCGGATCATGGCGAAAAGAGATTATGCATACCCCCTTACCTTCGCAGCCGCACCTCACTAGGTCTGCAGGCGCTTTGTTGGAACACGGCCTCTCTGGGTTTCATGTTTTTTTTGTCCTTTCTGAATTATGTATATCTACACACCTAGGTAGTGTGGGAGGCAGGCCCACGTGATGCGGGCCATCTGTACATACATTGACTTTTGAGTCTATTTCCTACTTGAATCCCGCCTCCCTGGCAGAGTGACTTTTGGGGTCGTTCAACGTGGGATGCATGTCGGTTCTCGCTGGCCTGGTAGCGAGCTGCGCTTTGCTGAGGCTCCCAATCGGAGAGAGACTGCTGCTCAGATCATGCAGATATTCACGTGGCAGATGCATCGCAGATCGGGGCCCACGACAGGAAAGGTGTGCCAATATGCTGGCGGTCAGCCGTAAGAAAACTCGGTCGTGAGTCTGACTATTCATTTGATGGCCACATTTCGTCTGTCGAAGCTATCTGTCAATCAGTCAGTGTCTCACCTGTGGCCAAGAAGGTGGAAAGTTTCTGAACTCAGACAGGCCGATCCGGTGTACCTCGCCAACGCCCGGGCACGAGCATCATGGATCGGCAAAGTCTAATCGGACGACTCGTCATACAAAGCTCATATTCATATTCTCATGCTGAACACCTAAGGACGGCTTTCTCGTAAACCCCTTTGCTTCGTTCCCCAAGTTTCCCTTATTATCGCTCGCAAAACGCAGAGCAAATGGACCCCTAAAACTCCGCCCGCCTCCAAAATCCCCCCCACCACGAACCTGGTAAACTAAATCTGTTCGCCCCCCGGCTTCTCACCGCAGTTCCACCCACGGTTTTTCATTAAATGTAGAGAGCGCCGACGTTCTTGGCGATGAAGTCGTAGCTGTCGCTCCTAAAGTTGTCATCCAGCAGGCCGCCGGCCCTGTTGGCCAGAAAGTTGATGAGCTTCTTGCCCTGGTCCCAGCGCGGCCAGTTCGGGTACTGCGCGGCGCTGCCGACGTTGGGGTCGAGGTCGTGGACAAAGTTGGTGTAGTAGGTGCGGATCTGGCGCGACGCGTAGTTGGGCAGGATGCCGTAGAAGACCTGCAGCAGGTCGGAGCCGTGGAACGTGCCCAGGATCGGGGTGCCGTAGTTGTAGGTGGCGAGGTAGGACCACGCCGGCACGTTGGGGTGGGCGGCCTTGGTCAGGGAGAGGAAGGCGCGGCGCGTCAGGGTGAAGACGAGGTCGCCGAGGACGGCGGACCGGCGCTTGAAGCCCGGGAAGATCTCGTTGAGGAGGGCGGTGCGGTGCGGGCTGCCGGAGATGACGGCGGCGACGCCGTTGTCGTACGTGTTGACGAGCGTCGTCAGCTGCGCCTTTGTGGCGCCGTTGAAGAAGAGCTTCTGCAGGTAGTCGACGAAGCGGTCCGTCGTGGTCAGGTTCGGCTGGAAGAGCCCGAAGAGCGTGCCCTCGTCCTCCTGGTTGCCGATGATCATGGGCACGGCCGCGTACTTGCCCGTCGCCGCCAGGATGTCCGGGCTCTGCGTGAGCACCTTGCCGTCGGGCCGCGGGAGGTACGAGAGCGCCACCGAGTTGTAGGACAGGATGCCCGGCGTCGACGTGACGGCCTTGAGGAACGTCTGGTAGGGCACGTCGCGCAGGCAGTTGAGCGTGTCGGCCTTGCCGGCGCACCCGGCCTCCCTGACGACGAGATCGTACACGGCCTGGCCCTTGGGGCAGTCGACGGGGTCCGCCGGCACCATGCTTCCCGAGTTCATGATCGCCCCGCGGAAGAGGGGCTTGCCCTTGTACGTGTTGTCGCCGTCGTAGAGCGCCATCTGGTCAAACACGGAGATGGCGCCCGCCGACTCGCCCCAGATGGTCACCTTGGAGGGATCGCCGCCGAACGAGGCAATATTGTCGGCCACCCACTCGAGACCCATGCGCTGATCGAGGAGGCCTAGGTTCGAAGACCCGTCGGCGAGGATCTCCTTGCCGGGCATGAAACCGAAGCCCGCAACGCGGTAGTTGACGGCGACGAAGATGAAGGGCTTCTTGAGGTCGACGCCGTGGTTGATGAGCCCTGTGCCGTCATACATCGAAGACCAGCCGAGCTGCGAACTGTGTGAGTAATTTTATATCGACAAGTGATGAGCCACCTCAAGAGCTCTTACCTGGAACCCGCCGCCAAAGATCCAGTAGAGCACAGGAAGCTTTGCATCTGCTTTGGTGCCCTCAGGTCTGGCCACAGTAATAGACAAACAGTCTTCTGTCTGGCCCGTGACCTTTTGCACGAATGGCAAGTTGGCGATCTCGCCCAGAAGGTCGAAGAGAAAGTTGTCACTCTCACTCGACGACACCATCTGGGGGCACGCCGCCGCCGGTCCGGTGGCGTCAAAGGTACCGAGGTTCCTCGCGATGCGTTGGGGAGGCTTCAGCCTGAGCCTGCCCACGGGCGGCTCGGCAAAGGGGATTCCGCCGAACGACTCGACCTTGTTCATGACGTTGCCGAGGACAGTGGCCAGCGGCAGTACGACAGTCGCGGTGCCAGCGGCTCGCTCGTCGAGGGCGGGGGTCGCATCGGACTGCGCGGCGACTGTGCCCAGGAGGCCGAGGAGGATGGGGAGCTTGAACAACATCGTGAAAATCTCCGTGTACTGGCAAGCTGGGGGGCAAGAAGAGCTCGGAAAGACCCAACAAAGGGGGGAAGTGTAAAAGTGAGCTGGCAAGTCTGACTTGAGCTACCACTGAGGCAGATGGGGGCTGAGTCGAGCAAAAATCTTTTTCTGTGAGCGGGACCCTGCTTTATTTATCATATTGGGATCATCGCGAGAATCCTAGGTTGTGGATGTCCGGTGCCTGGGGCCCCAGGCCAGACCAACTTGTTTTTTCTTTGGCCCCGACCCATCCCCCCGTCGTATCCGCTTTCGACATCGCGGAGTGCATGTGCGCCGTGTCATGGCCATCCATCCGTCAGATTCCCCATGGGGATTCCCCAGAGTGCGAGCTCAGGTTGCACGGCATGATCCCTGTGGTGCAGTGCTCGGATTCGAGGGGAGACCACGCGCTTGGGGTTGGTAAGTGCCGCCTGATTCGCCAATGCATGGCACCGTTGCCATCGAACTGCGGGATTCAGAGTAGACGAAGATCAGCGAAGATCAAAAAGCCGAGGAACCTGACGAAGTAGTTCGACAGACATGTGAATGTGAAAACAACCACAAGGCTGAACAAAAGGAGGGGCTGGCTAGAAGAAAAAAGGAACAGCAGCTGTGAAATCGAGTCAACACCAAGCGCAACGACTCAGGCGCCCCTCGGAACCTTGACTCTGTCCGAGTCTGCCCCCCCACGTCGTCATGTGGTGCATCTTGGCCAAGCTCAAGCTAAAAAGTGGGAAGCCGTTTTGCGGGGGAGCAGCTCGGTAGGTCACCAAGTGCGGGGAGCAGATATGCGATGGCAGCAATGGCACCGGCTTTGACTCCTAGAACAGCCTAGTCTGTTTCCCTGCAGGGGTGACAATGTAGCTCTACAGCGTCTCTGCCGCCCAAGATCGAAGCTGTAGTCCGTCATCTTGCGTTGTCCTCGTGTGCAAAGCCTTGGACGAAGCAGGGAATGCCGGCGTAAGGTCCGAAATGTGACAATTGCGTAGCGCCATATCGAGTGTTGGCGGTGAAGCGCACGAGCACTCCATTGCTGTTCACAATGGCTCGCAAATTCGAACCTCGCGAAATGAGTTCGCATCCTATTCGAGCCTTTTAGGCACCAAGTGATCAGACCCTAAGAACACTGCGACTGTGTGCTTTGCTCAAAAGCATGCGACTCGTGTAAGACGGCAAGTTCAGCCTTGGCTCAGCTCCAGTAAGTGGTGCCAGCCAACTTGAGATGGGTTGCTAGCCTCCTAAGGGGTTATATCCTCATTTGGATTGGAAGTGAGGGGGGGGGATGTGCGTCCTTGACCACACCGGGAATAGATCGTCATCAATAAACCCACCGCGATCCGCAACGCCATCGCCCAAGGCGGCGAGCGTTGAGAATCTTTACGGAAAATCCCCCAGATGTTGCCCTCAGGTCAGGAACGGGCACCCGGATGCTGCCGGCTCCAGCTCGCGCAGCATGCCTGTAACGGACGAGCTTTCTTTTAGCTCAACTGAGACACGGTAGATCATCAAGCAATTGTCGGGCAGAAGGATGAGAACTGACACAATCTCTTATGAGTTACGCCTCACACCATCTTAAGTTTTCCCGTCGCCTCTTGGCTGCCCGTCCTGCATACTGGCGGCTTTGATGGCGCCTTTCGGGAGCCTGAGGGTGTGCTCATTGTCCGCATTCTTCGATATCACATGGTAATTCCTGCTTTCACGTGGAAAGAAAGTAGAGTTGTAGTATGAGACGCGTAAATATCTTTGGTCATCGGCCTCGGTGTGGCTGTTCTTAAATCCCGTCCCGTTGGGCTAGATCACCTTGTAAGCTGCCTTGTCACAACACCACGCCCACATTACCGGAGGCTTTTAGAGGACTCACGGCGGGCAGTATAGACTTACAGAGTTGGAGGAAATGCGGGGAAGTGCTGGAAGACACATCATTAGTTGATCAACAAGATATCATATTTCAACAAACAGCATGTGAAAGGAAAACATGCAAAAACAGCAAGTTGGAGGAGTTAGGCTCGTTCAACACACTCTGGAATTACTGCCTAGAAGTAAACGCCACAATTTTCCGAGAAAGCTTTTGAGTCAGGAACGGGGGTCTAACAGGTTACTTTCTTTTCACCGGGCCGTGATCGTGGCCTTCGTGGTCCTCATCGTCGTTCTCATCAGGCCAGTCGGGGAAGCCATCCTCGAAGAGATCCTCTAGCGCCTCTGCCCTTTTCTCCTCACTGAGCACTCCGTTCCTCATCACCCGAGACCAGTCTTCCATCTCGTCGCCGGTCAGCGTGCACTGGTCGAGGACGTCTCGGAGAGCCTCAACGTCCAGGTTCTCTCCAATGAAAACCAGCTCCTGACGCCTGTCCCCCCATTCACCGCCTTTCGCAATGTCGTGCTTCACGAGAGAATCAATTTGCTTGTCCCCAGTCAGGTATTCCTCCTCGGGAAGAGTGCAGAACCACGGCCTGCCACCGATGAGAGTCAGCATAGCGCCGGCTTGTGACCACTCGCCAGCCCTGCCTGGACGAGTCGCCAGGAAGAATTCTCCCTTGGAGCGAAAGAGGCGGCTGAACAAGGGGTGCGCTCGTTTGTTGGCGAGAATGACATCGTTAGGTGGCATGTCGAGCCCGTCCTCTTCTTCTCCTTCTTCTTCGTTGCTCATAATTTCGTCTTCCTCTTCGCTGACGACGTCTTCAGGGTCGACTTCCATCTTTTCCGGTTCCTCCTCCTCTTCATCATGCTGCATCTGCAGGATGAACTTGTCATACAAAAGTTGCCACAACCGCCGTGGGTGGAACGGGCGCGGGGATGAGTAGACAAAATTCCGAACGTTATACTCCTCAGTCTCAGGCTTGGGCGTGATAGTCTTCTTTCCGTTGACCTATAATCGTGAATTAGTGATGCTCAAGACGGTCCCTCGCGGAATCGACTCACCTCTCGGACGGTCATATCGTGGAGGTCCTGCAGCCATCCGTATCCGGTCTGCGCTTGCTCCAGGCTGAACAGCCCAGTGTTGACAATCTCCTTGACATCGATCTTGCCGTAGCTCGTCTCCAGGATCTTTGCCCTATGGTTCAGCTTTTTGATGAGCTCAATCAAACTGGCCCGTGTTTGGGCATCAACCTGGAGAATTGCATTTTTAGCAACAGTTGAAAGACTGTGTTCGGCTTGCCAGAGGGCTTACCATGTCGGTCTTGTTCAACAAGATCACATCGGCAAACTCGATCTGGTCAACCATCAAGTCGGAGACAGTGCGCTCATCCTCAGGTACCACATCGTCTCGCCTCGATGACAGAAGCTGGTCGGTGTGGAAGTCGTTGTACACGGTGAACGCATCGATGACGGTGACGGCAGTATCAAGACGGGCAAACTTCTCCAATCCGCCGACTTTAGCCCTACATGACTTGTTAGCCAGAGTTCAATGAGACGAAGTTGCTTTCTTGAGCTCACAGCTTCTTCAGCACCTTGAGAGTGCTTTCATCGAGTCCATCGGCCTGTTCGACCATACTCCTCATTTGGTCTGCGAGCTTGTTGTCAAATGTCTCAGCGACCTGCTCAGGCTCGCTAATACCGCTGCTTTCGATGATGACGTAGTCAAAGGCGTGCTGTTCAGCGAGGTTGACTAGCTCCTCAAGGAGGTCGCCTCGGAGGGTGCAACAGATGCAGCCATTCTGTAGTGCGACAACTTTCTCTTCTGTTCTTGTGACTTTGTGAGTCTGCTTTATCAGGGACGCGTCGACGTTAATGCTGTATGCCACCTATGTTAACCTTGGTCATGTGAAGGAAGCTCACGGGTTCTTGGTGACTTACGCTCCAATATCGTTGACGATGACGGCGATTTTCAGGCCGTGGTCGCTTTTCAGAATATGTTGGAGAAGTGTAGTTTTCCCACTGCCCTATCCGATGTTAGGGAGGGGGTCTGAGATGCAAATGTAGCCGCGTGATTTCGAAGTTGCCATACCAGGAAGCCCGAGAGCAGGGTTACAGGCAATGCCTTTTCGGGGACCTTGCTATTCTTCTTGGACTTTGAGAAGGAGGATATGTTTCTCTTCGTCTTTGTGATGGCCATTTTGAATTTTCGAATCGCTTGATTCGAATCCGATCCTGAAGATGTGCGCTGTGGAAGATGGATGTAAGATGAGCAGGGCTCGCTCGCGGCGCCCACGACTCACACCCTTCTCGCCCATCATTTTATACACGCTGAAACAGGCGCTTTCACACCAGCGAGCCACTATCATATCTTGATCGGTGCTACACAATGCAATCATGCCATCAGGGTGTTCGCGATGCGGGAAAATGTGTCCATCAAGGTGTCGCTTGGTCGTCATCCCATTTTGCGGCGCTGTGATTGGTCAATTCCGACTTATACCGGGGAACTTATCAACCACACCTCGTCCCTGAGCAGTGTTAGTCGTGTTCTTTTGGCTTGTTCGACGCACGCAGGACCATACAAGAGGGTTCATTCGTGGCCGATCCCCCAGGGATGAGCAGGTATCTCAAGGCCTATGTTCCGGGTACTTCATCTTGTTGTACACATCGAGTCGCAAGAGCGTAGGCACAGGTGAGCCTGCGCCTCCAAAGTACCATTGAGCATGTATTTCAGATATGAGGTATGTACGAAGACCAGTTGACACTGACAAAGGCGGTGACCTCGGCGTGTCTCAGCTCCAAAAAGGCCTCAATGATTTGAAACATTCGTGCCAACCCATATAATACTGCCACTGGCATAATTGTCCAGAACTCCCACGGCAACGGTAGCTGTGTTGGCTCACGCTCATGTGTTTCTTCTTGCATTCTTTGCTCTCTTGCACTCTCAAAATCTGGAAGCTTTCCTGGATGAAAGATCCGGAGATAAAGCCAAGTCCATCGCCCGAGTCGAACCCACGAAGCCATCGTCTCCAGGGCCCAGAAAGCAGCCGTGACGCCGAACAAAATCAAACTGGTCACCCTCCAGAGAATCCGCTCAAGCTGGCTGGGGAAAGCAAAATTCCAACCGGCTATGTGCAGCCCAGTAAACAGCAGTGTGGCGAAGCAGACGCAGTACTCCTGGGCACCGTAAGGGTTCATCGGGAACCTGTCGTTTGGGATGCGCTGTATGGGTCGCTGAGATGGTATCACCGGCATTCTCATGAAGGGCTGCACATTCATCGACCAGCCAGGGCCATTTTCGTCAATAAAGTCGAGAGGCGTGTTCCGCCAACTCCTGGTGCCAATGATGTCTCGGATATGCTTCGATGTCGAGACGAAGAAAGGCGTTCGGACATCAGCTGGTTTGTGCAGCCAAGCGAAAGCCGTCATGAGCGTACACGTCACGATTGCCAGCGTGTTGAGTTCGAGCGTGGTAATGGCGAGACCCTGTGTCGCACGGCCAATGCACTCCACGATCAGATAAGCGATCTGAACCGAAGTGATGACCTTCGCAATTCCGTCCTGCTTCGACTTGTCCCATATCTCCGCCGTTGTGATAGCCGGGTATTCGACGTGACGGTTCATGACTAGCCAGTGAAGCTGCTTCGCGTTCAAAGGAAAGGGCTCGATGCCGTCTGCCTTGAGCACAAATCCGCCCATGTCCGCGAAGAAGGCAAGACGAACTGTCCACGCGTTGTAGCCTTCCGCATGGAAGGCTTGGACCGAGTGTTGTGCCCTGCTCCACTGACCCGCAGCATAAGTCAAGACGATTTCGGGACCAAGGATCGCCAGGATCATCCATTTGATTCTGCGGCGGAAAAGAGTCCACCAGGTGTCCTTCGGTGAAGGTATGTTCAAGCAGAGGAGTGTGTATGTGCAGAGAAAGATTGTGGCAAGGCATGTCCATATGATTTGCCAAGTGCCCCGAAAAGAGGGCTCCTGAACCCAGCCTAGCAAACGAGCACCTGGGGTTGCGGCCAGGTCATCTCTCTGAAAGCTTTCGGCCCCAAGGCAGCGCTCCACGGCGCCTTGTAGGCCTCCAAATCTTAGGGACATCGTTTCGTCTGCACGATTAGGCTTCGAAGCCAGGTACAAGAAGAGAGTCGACCAGTTTGCATGGACGCGCAGCGTCGGTGGACGTCATGATGCTTTTCAGAGAGACACGGGGCCCGTTCAGCGTTCCCATTGTCAATGGCAGCACCATATGTAGATGTCTGAGGGCTGTCTCTGCGTGGCTGCTTGTTCTGCTACCAACGGAACCAACGTGCATAGGCGGCAATGGCCTAATTTAGAAGACTGATCTCGACTGCATAGCTCTTGGCAAGAAATGCTTGTGACGGTGATTGCCAGTTGTTGGTGTTTGTGATGCGTTCTAATGTGCATGTAGCGGTTAGTAGGAGACGTCGATTGGTCCTGTTTTGGAGCGTTGGTGACAGGCCCTCTGAAACCTGGACCCTCAAACGGCCCACAGGGGACCGTCGGAGTGAGTGGGGGTCCTTCAGGTCGCGACTTTGACATGTGCGCAACCCACCGAGAAACGATCCTTTCTACTGACCTGCTTGCCACGAATCGTGTTTTCTCATTGAATAGCATCAGTTCCTCAGCCATATCCCTTAAGTGAAATCGCCGAAATGGGAAGCTCACATTCGCCGTTGGCAATTACCTTCTACGTCCTTGCGGGATCTCTCGCTTCGTATGCGACATTCATTGGTCTTCTCACCATCCCATTCTTCCAAAACCAAGTCATTTACCTCAACCGTGTCACCTTGACCTGGTTTCAAGATGTAGCTATCCCTGAGCGATGGGGTTTCCTTCATAACCAGGTCACTCCTTTCACCCTCGACACATCCGATGGGGAGACGCTGCACGCCTGGCATATCCTGCCCTTAGGCCTCTACCAGAAATACGAGCAACGACTCGTCGAGGAGCCGTCGGGCATCGCGCCCAACATTTCAAAGACTCTCGGATTTGAGCTCCTGCGCGATGATCCTGACGCCCGATTGGTCATCTACCTTCACGGTGCGGCCGGCACTCTAGGCTCTGGTTGGCGACCAGCGAGCTACCGCGCAATGTACGCCGCATCGCCAAGCAACATCCATACAGTGGCCATCGATTACAGAGGATTTGGAGCCAGCACTGGCACGCCCTCTGAGGAGGGTCTGTTGACAGACGCTCTGACACTGGTTAACTGGGCCTTGAAGGAGGCACGGATTCCTCCCTCGCGAATTGTTATCTTCGGCCAATCTCTCGGTACTGCAGTGGGCATTGCTTTGACAGAATATTTGGCAGCGCTTCCGCAGCCTATACTTCTCTCTGGCATGGTCCTCGTGGCTCCCTTTGCCGACGTTGAGCTCCTTACCGCTACATACAGAGTAGCTGGCACGATCCCACTTCTGGATCCCCTCGCGCACTTCCCGCGTCTTCTTGCTCTCCTCAACACTTTCATCCTCAGCAAATGGCCCAGCAAGGATAAGCTGGCACGCTTTATTCGCCGAGTGGAAAGTCTAGCCGATGACAGTGCAAGATACCACATCAACATTATTCACGCTGAGGACGACTATGACATTCCGTGGTCCCACAGTGAGCAGGTGTTTTGGCATGCCGTCAATGCCGCCACGCCCATGGGAATAAGCTTTGAAGACCTCGAGAAGGAAAAGGAGAACAGCAAACAGCATCTCGGTGCTGGTGGCTGGGTTGCCACAAAGCAGGGCAATAGGGGGTTCATCAGGGAAGAAATTGTGAAATGGGGCCTGCACGACAAGGTTATGTCTTATCCCGTGGTCAGCTTGGCCATCTTGAGAGCCTTTGAAGCTGGCGAAGCAGGGAAATAACATTCGCGAAGTATAAGGATTATTACTTGGCAATTGCAGCGTGCATTTCAATAAACAGTGTTCGCGAGGGGATGAAGTGTTTTCGATAAGCCGTCACGAGTGAACCTCGGGCTATCGTGGGTGAAGGAAGAGAACATCGAGAAAATTAGTCAGTGAAGAATGCCAAGATACGAAGTCACGCACAGTACGATAATAGAGCTTGGGCTGAGCATCACAAGGCCTGGACGGGGTTTTTACATATGTCATGACGTCAGGAGCCTATTGTAAGGGTGCGACACGTTGGAGACCTATATAGGGCTGCAGGTGGCCCCTCTAGCTGGCTGGATCTGTGAATAGCGCATCGCAAACCGTTGTCAGGGCTGTGGCCATATACTTCAGATTCAAGCCTTGATAAGATACAGAACGCTGCTGATGGCTTTGCGATATGGCGCATGTACATGTAGTCTGTAATTTTGTACTGGCCTTGGTATCTTCATCATTGACGTAGCGTCGATTGATGGTATCAAGAGTACATCAGCGATGTGCTGCACATCGTCCCTGTTCACAAGTCTCGAGAATCGGACCTTCAAATGATCCGGGAAATTCCTACACAACTCCGCCTTACAAATGCATTGCTTTTATTCTTGCTGTCGGCGTTAAGCTGGTTGATGGGGCATGACCAGGGTCTCGGCCTGATCCAGTCTAGCGTTGTAAGCCGCCTGCATACTCTCTAATGCCCCCTCTGGACTTCCTCTCATGCACTCGCCTTACATCCATCAACGTTCCGCTGCCATCGACATCTCGTCCACCATCTTCCCGCTTGTCTCGTCACCATACTGGTTTCGCCTCAGATCAGACCTGTTTACAGCTCAGCTGTCCGATCATTCACGACTCAGCGTTAACGACAGGGTGGCTCCCGCATCCGACATCGGATCCGTTTCAACTTCCGCAATACTGGAGCGTACCTCTCAGTACGTGACGCACGAGACAAGACAGCCCACCGTCCAGATCTTTGATGAGTCTCCACTTTGGACACCATGTCTGTTTCTATCAGTCAAATGTCCCAGCTCGAGGGGGCCAAATGCCTCGACGATGACTGGACTGGCCTCAAAGACAGGGCTGAGCGGAAGAAACGCCAGACACGGCTCAACGTGAGAGCTCATCGTACGTCCCAGTAGCGTGGCTTGGCATTCTCCAAACTGACCATCTACACAGGGAAGCGTAAGGCCGAGGCTCGGGCTATGTTGGTCAAGAAAGAGTACCATGTCCAGCCACGCGAGCGCCAAATATCCTCATCAGTTGTGGCTGGTGAGATGCCCATATTCGCCATGAGTGCAAGCAACTTTAAACCCCTGTCGTTTGACCCTCTCAAGAGCGAGTTTCCGTTATCAACCGATCATCTCATTCCCCTCATTCAGTACAATGTCAAGCGGGCGAGCCACACCAATATTGCCATTCTAGCCATTACGAACGTTGTCTGCGTTGGCAGCCCTTACAAAACAATGCCCCTCTTCCCCTACCCCCGCGCCCTCCCCGAATCTTTGGCTCCGACGTCACTACAACTCACCACGCCGCACCCGCCCTGGATCGACATCCTGCCCTCGCCTCGTATGCGAGACAATGCCATACGCGCCCTCGGGCAGTATTCCCAAGCGGATTATTGCGCCACCTTCTCTGGCGGACGGTCGGGTGCGGACGGGATGATCGTGTGGGCGGATCCATGGGGTCCGGATGGTTGGGAAGTGACCGAAGGTATGCTGCGGACCTGGCGCTTCCTTTTCAAGGGCTGCCAAGACATGATGACAGCAACGAATCGCTGGCGAGCCGCGAGAAATGAACCGCCACTTGTGTGGGAACTCGAATGAGCGAGAGACCGCCCCCGACACTAAGGCAAGTGTTTGTCGTACCCAGCAGCGATAAGTCTCTGCCCGGCATTCCAGACCTCATCCGGTATCTCTTGCTCAATCTGGAAGCCTCGCGCCGGATACTCGCGGATCCGAACCAGGTCGCCGACCATGATGCTCGTCACCAATCCTCTCGGGTTCGCTTCGTCGGGATACTCCTCAAACGACATTTCAGGCGACGTGACCGTGTAGCCAGTCGTCTCATCTCCCCACTGCTTCAGAAACGTGGCGTACGTTCTCCTCTCCATGTACGGTTTCTGCACCAATATGAAGCTCTCAACCTTTACACCCCGTTCCTCGAGCAGTTTCCGCGTGAACCGGACGTTTTCGCCCGTGTTCGTTGCCGTGGGCTCCACCAGAATGGAAGCATCCGGTACGCCCATGCTACGCGCGATATCGGCGAAGAACTCCGCCTCGGGCTTGTCAAACAGACCGGCAGTCAGAGCACCCGTGTTTCCGGAGAAGATCAACAGTGGGGCGACGCCGTTGAGGAAGAGTTGGGCGGCGCGGGCGGCGACACGCACGTCGAGGCTGCAGAGGCAAAATACTGCTGTGGCAGGGCTGGTAGGGAGGGGCATGTTCATGTGGTGATAATTGTACACAATTTCTGCATCTCGGTAGACGGCGGGGGTCATCGGGCGTTCCATGGTTTCGAAGTCCAGTCTGCTTTTGTGAAGAAGAGTGGGATTGGATCTTGAATAGTATTGAAGTGCCTGATAGGTAGGTAGTTGGATGAGCGATGCATGGTGGAGGAAGAAGAAGCAGTGAGATGGTGCAGGCTACAGTGGCAACCGATGCTCGCTGATGAGTCAGCGCCATTCTCTCCATGCGCCGACGGCAAAGCTCGTATTATGCCGATATTGTCCAAGGGCAGACGTTAACTAAGTACCCTCCGTTACGTTACTTTGCTTCAAGTTACGTTACTTTATCGAGGTCATTTTCCATGCATTGATTTGGCATGGAAAACCGTGTTTGACTTGGGTCCACTATGGAGTTACGCATGAGATGGGCAATCATATTTTATGAAGAAACCACTCAAAATCATACTTTTTCCCATCAATTTCGCGCTTGGATAATTTCCGCATCATAGCTGAATCGTTTGATTCATAATTTTCTCTATCTACTTAGCAACAGGATACATACAAAGGAAATACTAATGTTGCGGGTCAGACTGTTGACGTTGTACAGGCTTGGGGGGCTCATAGCGCAATGAATGTAGCCCAGTTGAATCAACGGCGTTAATTCAACACTTATCCTTTTAGCTCCATCAAATAGCAGCTGTAAGGCAAACACGACTGTGTGAGGGCTGTCACCAACCCGTTTTGCAGCTGGCTGTAACAGCTAATGACACGCGCCAGGGGTCCGAGGCAGCACATTCTGGCGGAGCTGTCAATGAAAGCATCCTCCGCGAAAACAAAACAAAAGACCTACGAACTGGCTCGTAATCTCCATAGGCATCATTTCATGGGTTCCTTGCCCGCTTTCATGCGCTCGCTGTTGAAGATGCGCCTGAGGTCAACTTCGAGCAGCCACTTCGCGTGCGCAGCCCGAACCTGTTCCTCACTTTTGATGATGGCGATGAATCGGTTGAATATGTCGAGATCCTTCATCAAAAGAACCCTGGTGGCCTTGAGTCTCTTGAGGACCTCAGCCTCCGTAGGTGGAGCAGTGACGCTGCTGTTTGCAACAGGGTCGACGGGAGCACTGTTCTCACCAACAGGGCCTTCACACGAAGCGGAGGACTCAGCTTCTTTGTTCTTCCTTTCCTTCTCCATCTTTCGGCAGTGTGCACATAGTTTCTTGCCCTTCATAGCGTCCATAACTTCCTTCTCGAGAGACATCCACTCTTTGTAGAGCTCTGTCTTATTACCGATGTAGCAATCGATGTGGATACGGCACGCGCGTACTTGCGTCAGGACCAGCTCTCTGCCATCAAGAATCTTTTTGTTGCACGTCAGGCGCTGTTGTCTTCCCTCGACCGCTTCCTGGCAGGCAGAAATGGCATCGAGCTCCAGTACAAGCTGTTTGACGAGGTTCGGGTAGAATTTCAACGCAACTGCCTTGTCGTGACGAAGAATGACTTGTTCGTCCGTCTCGTTGCGAAGCTTCCTGCGAAGGCGATTTCGGAGCTTTCCCTCCTTCTTTTCGACGAGAGATGCAGCCTCTGCGTACAAGTCAGCGTACTTCTTCCTATCCTCTTCATGAGCGGGAGTACGTGTGAACCTGGCAAAGTCATCCTCGACACGAAGCAAGGACCGCTTGGCGGTTTGCACAGCGGTTTTAGTAGCCCGGCTTTCTTCCCAAAAGGCGAGCTTGAAGCGATGTTCCAGCACCGGCTGTGCGATAGGGGAATACATGACGTGTTTGGCTTGGTGAAAAGGGCTATTCGTTGATGATGGATGATACAGAATGGTCTTGGGCTGATAAGTTCGTGGAAACAACTCTGCATATATAGTCCCTGGATCATCGTCACTGAAATAGTCAAGAACGCTGTGGACAAGCTCTGATGTGTTACATTTTGAACGATCTCGCCAAGAAGTGGAAGCGAGAAAGTCTGGTCGGGGCATTGTAAGCTGTGTGCTCTGCTGTTCACGAGATGGGGCTGCTAGTTGAATTAGAACAATACCACAGCATGCTTTACACCAGGCATCATGGTTCAAACACAACCAACAACATCCATGCTAGTGAACAGGAACACTATGTGCCTTATTTGTTCGAAATGACATCCTCGTAGTGTTGGGCAGCGAAGCTAAAGGAAGCATTCACGTACTCTACAAGGTGTTATGACTGTCATGTACAGTCCAATGCGGGACATTCAAAATACCGGAGAAAGATAGTGCGGACCTCGAGACGAGCTGAAAGACTGAACATCATCAAAAGTAGCCTCTCATAGCCCTTGATCAAATTCACGGACTGAATTACTCCGCCCCGAATTTCTCTATGCCGCCGGACATAAGACTATTGTATTGCGCCAGACGCGCGCGCTCTATCCTCTTCGTCTAGAGGAAGTCGCCGCCGGCGTGTGGGCCCGCTTCTGGAAGGAGCCAGCTCAGAAGGATCGCCATGCTGCAACCCACCGCTTGCCACTATTTCGATATTGAACGCTGGAAATCAAGCGGGATCAGGGGCGGCTTCGCTTCTAGTAGTCCAAGATACCGCCCGCAAGCTATCGTCGGCCCCTTCCGTCTTTCAGCTGTCAGCGACGTCAGGCGGGGAACAATCAAGGCCACCAGGGCCATCGAGCCCCTGCTCGTCTGCTCGGTTGTGATAGCTCTTAGTCCATCACGGCAGGGAATTTGCGCTATATTCTTGGCCAACCTGTTCGGCAGTCATGAATGATCTAGACGGCCTGATGTTGTGGGCGGCACGTACATCCGGGCTGCGGACAACCCTGATGAGGGCATACCAGGATAACAGCGAGCTCGGAGGTCGTCGCCAGCCACCGTCTTTGCCCCCTTGAAACCCCGGGAAGAAAAGGAGGCTATTGATACTGTCGGCACCTAATTCTTGTCGCAGTCAATTGACGAGCTTGATACCGCCGGCAGCTACAGCGTGCTGGGCGGAGATACCAGCGCCGACGATCCGGTATCGTCACCTCACCCCGGACTACCTTCCCCATTCGCGCCCCAGATACGTGCCTCGTGCAGTTCAACGACCTCTCGTTGGCTCCAGCACCACCGATTACGGCGGATGCCGACAGTCAACCGTTGATACCAATGGAAGCGCGACTCCTGGGGGAACCTCAGATTGCGGGGTTGGAGGCGGAGACGGCCGGCAGAAGGGAATTGGGGTGTCCCTGGCGATCACAATGGATGCCGGTAACACCACCCAAAAGAAGATCTTCCCGCCGAAATGTGGCCCCCAATAGGTCTCATCGGTAGATGGTCAACAGTCGCTGCGCGGCATCTGCAGATGAAACCATCGAAGGGTCGTCCCAGGGAGCGTTCAGCCAACCGCAGCGCCGGCCCTGGGCATGCGTGATAAGGTCCCTGGCTCACCTTCCAATTCCGATCTGGTGATCGGCACCGCGAACCGCGCCAGGCGTACACCAAGCGGACACGCTCGGTCGTCGTGACTGGCGATTCGCGGGAGGGGGGAACGGACGAGTACACAGGAATGGCAGGCGTCCGCCATCTGGTGAGACCATCCACGATGAAGGCGAAGGCGGCTTGCCTCAAATGCGCAAGCGAAGAAGTCTATAAAGCTGGACATGTCGCCGGGCCTCCGATCGTAAGCAGACATCATCACAGCCAGCGTCTTTGCCATCTCGCCACCTCTGTCAAGCAGCTCTCCTCCACTTCGTCGCCATCATGCAGTTCAAGGCTCTCATTGTCTCCCTCCTCGCCGTCGCGGCGCACGCAGCGCCCGCCTCGCCCAACGAGGAGCGCTCCGCCATTGAGAAGCGCGCGACGACCTGTGGTAGCACCTACTACTCGACGGCGCAGGTCAACGCCGCCGCCAACGCCGCGTGCAAGCACGTCCGCGCTGGCACGCAGGCGGGCTCCTCCAACTACCCCCACCGCTACAACAACTACGAGGGCTTCAACTTCAAGGCGTCCGGCCCCTGGCAGGAGTTCCCCCTGAAGTCCAGTGGTGTCTACACCGGCGGTGAGCCAACATGTCCACCCGTTGTCTGTGAATCGCCATCTAACGTGCGCTTGTCGTGTAGGCTCCCCTGGTGCTGACCGTGTCATCATCAACGGCAACTGTGCCATTGCTGGCCAGATCACCCACACCGGCGCTAGCGGCAACAACTTTGTCGGATGCAGCGGCACCACCCTGGGTTAAGGGTGGAATGGTTGATTCGGGAAGTGGGAGAGCTTGGTGATATCGAGGTGGCCGGCGCAGGGATGAAGCCGGCGACTTTACAGCGTGTTTGTTTCTCACCATTGGTTTCTTGTTGATACCTTACTCCGCTGAGGAAGGACTGCGTCTTTCTGGGCATTGGCAGCGATTGACTCGTCCTGCCTGACATTCGCGAGCTGCGATGATGGCATGAATGAAAACGAATATGACCTTGAAAAGCGCTGATGCGAAAGTGAAATGAGCCACCCAGAGTCTTGTGCTCCAACGAAGAGACTTGGAATTAAAATCACATCGTGTCTTCCCTCGTCTGTTGCGCGCCATGCGAATCTGGGCCGGGCCACTCACCGAGTAGGAACTACTCGTGTGTATAGCTTGACAACATGGTGGCGGATGTGTCTCGAGTATAGTCAAAGCCAGAAGGACAAGGAAGCAAGGGAATGAAGGCAGGTTGGCCATTTGATCATCATCCAGTGTCGTGGTCAACATGCCGTAGGTTATCTAGTCGGTGCTGGAAACAAAGCATGCTGGGGCAATGAACCTGGACCGTTGAACTCCCTCCTGGGATAAGCCACCGGTGGCCACACCCACTGACTCAGCACCGGGGGCTTGCGCGACGTTATCTAATCGGGCCAAGCTTGAACGGACCTCCCCAGCACACTGGGCCAACGCGCGCCGCGCAGAGAAAGTTGGTCGCATCCAGGCGCGTTTCCCTTGTCGCAAGCCCAAACCCAAAGGTGAACCCTGGCTAATCATCACCACCACACATCCATCATCACATTGACGACGCAACGACCATCGACACACCTGCATGAACGCGACACTCTTTGCGATATCCATGTGTACACCCAACAATGCACGTCATTAAGCCAGCCTGGCTGAGCCATAGCGGCGAGCAGAAGGACTACGAAGTCTACAGCTGCCACGTCTCCCCCGACGGAAAGCGGCTCGCGACAGCTGGAGGCGATGGCCACGTTCGGATCTGGTCGACCGAAGCCATCTATGGCACCAACAGCGATGACAATGTGGGCAAGCCGAGGCAGCTCTGCCACATGAGCCACCATCTCGGCACCATCCACTCCGTTCGATGGTCTCCAAACGGGCGATATCTTGCTTCGGGCGCTGATGACAAGCTGATTTGTGTCTATCACCTCGACAAGAACCCGCCCGTTGCTTCCTTTGGTACGCCGCTTTTCTCAATGTCTTTGTTGGCGGCATGCTAACCTTCATCGTTGCAGGCACCGGCGATGCTCCCCCTGTCGAAAATTGGAAGACCTACAAGCGTCTCGTAGGCCACGACAATGACGTGCAGGATATTGCCTGGTCGTACGACTCTTCTATTCTCGTCTCCGTCGGCCTGGACTCCAAAGTCGTGGTCTGGTCAGGACACACGTTCGAGAAGCTGAAGACACTTGCCGTTCACACAAGCCACGTCAAGGGCATCACCTTCGACCCCGCGAACAAGTTCTTCGCAACCGCCAGCGACGACAGGTCCATAAAAATCTTCCGATTTACTCCTCCCGCACCCAACGCGACGCAACACGACATGGTGAACAACTTTGTGGTGGAAACAACCATCAACGCACCGTTCAAGAGTTCGCCTCTGACGACGTACTTTCGGCGTTGCTCGTGGTCGCCCGACGGCAACCACATTGCAGCTGCGAACGCAGTCAATGGGCCCGTCAGCTCTGTCGCCATTATCGAGCGTACGCGGTGGGACAGTGAGATCAACCTCATTGGCCACGAGGGTCCAACGGAAGTCTGCATGTTTTCCCCCAGGCTGTTTCATACAGTGAACCCAGCCGAGATCACAGACGACAACGTTGGCTCGCTGGTGACCGTCATAGCATCGGCTGGCCAGGACAAGACCCTCAGTATCTGGAACACCAACACTTCACGGCCGGTGGTTATTCTGCAGGACCTCGCCGGCAAGTCTATTTCCGACCTGTCCTGGACCCCTGATGGCCAGACCCTCTTCGCCGCAAGTCTGGACGGCGCTATTATCGCAGTCCGATTCGATACGGGCGAACTCGGTTGGGTCGCGAATGCGGAGGAGAACGACAAGGCGCTGCAGAAATACGGCGTCTCCCGCAAGGGCATGGGCATCGCGGAGGACGTTGAAGGGCTGCAGCTGGAGAACCAGAGCAAGGCAGGAGAGTCCAAGGCGGCAGAGTCCCGCATGGGCGCCTTGATGGGTGACCTTCCAGCCGCAGCAGCGCCGTCTGCAAATGGCACAAAGACGAACGGTACCAACGCTTCAACGCCGAAACCGACCAATGGGCATACTGAACCCGAGAAGGAGAAGGAGAAGGAGAAAGAAAATGAGAAAGAGCCTGAGGCGGACAAGGAGAAAGAGAAAGAGAAACTCGAAGAAAGCGCCGACAAGACAGCTGAACGTGTGAAAGAACTGAAGTCTCGAGTCACAGTGGGCAAGGACGGCAAAAAACGGGTTGCGCCGCTGTTGGTCTCGTCATCAGGCACTGGGCAGATGTCGATGCCTCAAACACAGCTCGTCGGGTCAACCTCCACGGCTAAGGCGTCGCAGAATGACGCGCCCTTGTCAATACTCGACCTTGGCAAACCTGTTGATGGCTTGCCGCGAGGTGGCATCGCCGCCATGCTGCTCGGCAACAAGAGGAAAGCTATCGAGATGGAGCCGCAAGAAGGAGACGACCCTTTTGCCAAGCGCCAGGCAACGGGGCCGACGCCCATTGTGGTGAATGGTGTCGATGGCGTTGAACCTGCGGCCATGGTCCAAGCACCCCACGGTATCGCGCCAACTCCCGAGTTCCTCCGACCAGCTGTTTTGAATCCATCCATCACCTTTGCTCAGATACGGCTTGCTGTTCCAAAAGTTCGGTCACATATCGTGCGGCCAATGGAGCGAGGTGTACTACTGAGCGAGACAACGGTCGAAGACGCTGCTAAGGTTCCGGAGAACATCGTTCTCGAAGCCCGCAATCCTGTGCAGATCAAGGATCCATCGCAAATCACAGTCACGAAGCGTGGCACCCTTCTCTGGCAGGACTATCTCTCCAGGGCTGTCATCCTAGTCACTGGCAACAAGCACTTCTGGGCTGCTGCTTGCGAAGATGGTAGCGTGTACATCTGGACCCCTGCTGGCCGAAGATTGGTGAATGCCATTGTCACCGAGGCCCAGCCTGTCATTCTCGAGAGTCGCGAGCACTGGCTACTTTGCATCAATGCGGTCGGTCTCTGTTACGTTTGGAACATCGAGAGCCAGTCTTCACCACATCCTCCCGTGTCTCTAGGTCCCATCTTGGAGCTCGCGACAACCACCCTCAACCTCAACGCCGCTACGCCTGGCCCCGGCGTCACCTCAGCAGCTCTCAACTCGACAGGACACATCGTTGTCACGCTGACAAACGGAGATGGATACTATTACGCCCGTGAGATGTACACATGGCAACGCATCAGCGAGGCTTGGTGGGCCGTCGGCTCCCAGTACTGGAACTCGAACGACTCTTCCATCAGCGCGCTGCAGTCGACCGCAGTTGGGCCCGTCACAGCACCCAAAGACAACGACTCCAGCGCGGCAACGGTTTCCGCTGGCATTATTCCGCACCTGGAGCGTCACACCACCAACGAGTTCCTGCTCAAGGGCAGAGCATACACCCTGCAGCGTATCGTCAAGACGCTCCTGACACGGGACGGCTTTGAGGACTTTGAAAGTACCGTGAGCATTGCGCATCTCGAGAACCGAATCGCCGCCTCACTGCAGATGGGTGCCAGGGACGAATTCCGTCTATACCTCTTCATGTACGCCAAGCGTATCGGCGCCGAAGGCCTTCGGCTCAAGGTCGAGGAGCTTCTGAACAGCCTGCTCGGTGGCATCCTCAAAGACAAAAAGGTCCAAGAGACCAAGGCCAAGGGGTGGTTCAGCCAGGAGAACGAAATTTGCGGGTGGGACCGAAAAGAGCTGCTGAAGGGCGTCGTGATGATTCTGGGTAAGCTCATTCTCATGATGCATGTGCAGGCATTCACTAACGTACTCTTTCTAGGTAAATTCCGAGAGCTTCAGCGCCTGACAGTGCAATATGCTCGTGTACTGGACCTAACTCAGACCGAAGATGACGTCGATGATGAGGACGGTGCCATGGATGTTGAAGCGTAGGCAAGTACGGGCATTTGTCGTTGATGTATCGATTACAGCGAATGTGTCATGTCGTCGTTGTATTATATAACGCGGTTGGGAATGGGTCTACGGTAGCCGGAGTTGGCGTACTGGTTCGGGACAGCTCCCAGGTGGCTGTCTGGTGGTCTTTGTTCTTGCGTGGGGGTTTGAAGCCATCGCTGCGTGTTGCATGCCTTAACTGCTAAGCCATCATAATTTCGCCGTGCCAAGTGAAGCGGTTACAATGGTCTCGCTGCCAGATTGGAATGTTCACACCCACTGCATGCGTTACCTGATCCTCGACATGGTGAAATATACGTGGTGAGCGCGGCATCATATGTTTCATCATTTTGCCCCTTGAAGGATACGCGATACGGATGTTTTGGTTGGGACCAGGTCAACCCTCTTTATTTCAAAACCCTCCGGTTGTTTAATGTGCGGTTACAGTCCCAGTTGATAAGGTAAACAGCATAGATGTTTGCCCAATGCACAAGCTGAACATGATGGTTGACAAAAGATCCCTATGGCACAGCGATCACTCAAGCAGCAACACAGCTCGGCCGTAGTGCATAACCAGAGTATTATGAAGTTGCAGTGCGCAGCAGCACAGATCATGATCCTCTCACCAAATGGAGCCACCGAAGTCTCGGTCACCAACCTTGCCCACGTCATGGGCTCCCTCCGAAGCCATGAAGCATGCAAGATCTCGCATCCCGCAATCTCCAAGGTGAACATCTCATCGGGTCCAAACCCCGTCAAATCTCACCGGACAGACTGCCCCAACACGACACAAAACAAAACAAAACAAAAACCCCGTGACCACCAACCCCAGACCCAGGCTTGCCCGAGCTTCCCCGCCCCCCCCCCCCGGGGTGCCTCCGCGCCTCCCTCAATCTCCCCAACCGAAAAAGTGACCCAGAGAGACAAAAACCATCTTGAGATGGCGACGTCCCCCATTTTTCTCTTGGCCCTTCATGGCTTCCCCCATTCCACCTCCTTCCGCCTTCCAAACCGTCCCTCATCCGGGCTGGCCCATTGCGCCGCTCGCCCGTTCTCAACCACAGCGTCGCACGGCCCCACCCCGCGATGTAACGGCGGCTCACCACCGAGCCAGGGCCGTGTTGCTGTGCCGTTAGGTGACTCGACGAGGGGACGGGGGGCGACCCTGTTGCGCGAGTGGGTCGCGGCTGCAGCGCATCATCACATCTCTCTTCTTCGGGCAGCCCATCTGAATGTCCTCATGTCTCTCGATCTTGAGCCCCCCCCTCCCCTGGTCCCAGGCCTTCGCTGTGCAGCCTTTCCTGTCAACTTCCGGCGGCGGTGGGAGATAGGGGAGGGAAGGGGGCCCTTGGGGGAATCGGCGAGAGGAGAAGAAGAGGCGGGGGTTCCCTGCCGGCAAAATGTGACGAGCTTCTGCACAGAGGTTAGCGGGGGATGGGGCGATTGCCGGGCTAGCGGGGCATTCGGCTGGACTGCCGATCTGGGCGCGCGAGATGAGGGTTTTTGTAAGGGGGTATAATGTCCGATGGCGTAAGAGCAACAAGAAGAATGAGAGGGGAAAAAAAAATGTTTCAAGGAAAAATGTTTCGACGAGATGGCGGCCAGGTGACTAGGCAGGGGTTGCGGGGAGATTCGGCGGTTTAATGGAACTTCCTCGTAGGGCCGGGGGCCAGGCCTCCCCCCTCTCCCAATCGATGTAGACCGCCATACGGATGCCGCTTTCTGGCAACATTTGGGCTCTTTGGGCGTCATGGGCATGGTGTTGTGTTGCTGCTGGTGAATCTGTGGTAAGCATGTCTTTTGCTGCCTGCAGCGTTCGTTAGATTTCACGCCGCGCTGGAGTCAGCACGCGGCAGACAGCAGCGCTGGGTTACCCTGATACTACCAGATGACCGAATGACAGCTTGGCGAGTGCAAGTACCCTACATGATAGTTTGTGCGCCTATAACCTGTCCCACGCATGGCGACGTCCCAGAGCGGGAGGGACCAGCGATGCGCACCCGTTGGAGGCTAGATCTTGTCCAGCACGCGGAGTCCCACACTCGTAGGCTATCAAGCATCGCAAGGGATGAAATAGATACTAAACTCTGATCTTCTGTTTGCTCGGGGCCGATGGAGCCAGATTATGTTTCCATTGTGAGACATATATGCGGTGTTAAAACAGTACGGGACGTGTTTGCCTCGAGGCAGAGATGGCTGCATGCTCGCAGATGCGGCCGCAGGAGATGCATACGACTCTCCGCAAGGTGCAGCGCGCACTTGATGTCCCCTTACGCCCTGGCCCCTTGAGGCGGGTGGCTGGGAGGAAGAGGGTTGCCGCACGTTCTTTTCCGTGGCAACAGCGGAGGTGAAAGGGTAACTGTAACCTCGTCTCTTCCCGCTGTTACATCACTACAAGTTTCCGCTTGGGCACTGGCGACATTGTGACTGCATGATAGCCAACCCTCTGATGACGTTCGAATCCGAGACTAGAAACACATGGTACCCCCCCATGGCCGCGAGGGTGCTGTGATCTGCGAAGTCTTACAGAAGACCGTGGTTGCTCATGACTAGAGGCGGAGTGGCGAGCTGAGAAGCCAAGCCTTAGGTTCATGGGTAGTCTAGGCGAAATGTAGGAGCTGAGTCGAGCCAAAGCTGAATGGCATTTGAAAAGGCACCTGGCGACAGTAGAATCTTTCTTTAAAAAGTAGTCTACGCACGGAATTGTAAGCAGCGTGACTAGACGGGGGAAGCGATGGTCCCCAGTGATTTGTAGTTACCTCCAAACTATGTATGACTTTTTGGCCATTGACTACGCATACACCAGGTGCTTATTTCAAGATCTTACTCTCAGAGGCTACCAACCCAATTCTTGAACTAGATCGTTCGCAGGACAGGCAACCTTCTCAGCTTCTAGCATGATTTGCGAACTCCTAAAATCTAAATCGAGAACCATCAACGCAACCAGGCATCAATGCTCACAGCTTCATTGGCACGTTGAAACCAAAACCTGATATGGTCCCTAGGTAGACTACGTCATCGCCCCGGGACTACGTGGTGGTACTGTTGTACGAACACAATGTGCACAGGCGAGTAGGTATCTGGACGTTGTGGCCCCTTGGTTTGGCCATAGTCTCAATCGCGTGCCCGGGCCGGAGGCCGGCCAATAGATTGCGTCCTGACAATGATTTTCATCAAGTACTTCCTATACGAACGAGTCATGCCAGGGGAGCGAGGCGCATGGCTTACATTGACACACATAGAGAGCCGGTGTCTTGTGTGTCATGTAAATGTGATTTGCCACTGAGGATCCTATAAGCCTGGTACGAGCCAGATGACAGGTTGGAGTCATTTAATAAGTTGAAGGGCGAGATCCTGTCGACGGTGGCTGTGAACGAATGGAGGGGTAGTCCCCTGAAACAAAGGCTCAACTTTGGAAAGGAGGGGGGGGCGTAGGTGAATTTGGGGTTAGTGGGTTAATGGGTTGGGGTGGGCGGGCTGCCTGCCTGCAACAACCAACCACCAGTGCCTGGCCCTTTGTAGCCCGCAATCACGGCGCGGGTGCCATCCGAAGATCGAGAACCTAAGGCCGGCCCGAATACGGGGGGGAAGACGTGGAGCAGGGGGGCTCGGAAGACGGAAGGCAGTCCTTGCTGATCGTTGAAACGGAGACCTGGGCTGACAGACGCCAGCTGTCGCGTGTGGTTCGTAGCCAGAGGATATGGCGGCGTTCGTGCCTCTCGTGGAGAAATGAGACGGTTATCGCAGGATGGCTTCATGATGCTATCCACAGTGGGCGATTGTCCGGTTCATGCCTTAATGCCGCTGGAGATTGCATGCATGCCGAGAAATCAAGCGAGCGTACCGATGGCCCTTTCAAGAAGAAAGTCGGCCCCTCAATTCTGCTCGCTCTCCCACAACCCGAAAGCTGGAGATGGATGCAGGCAGGGAAGGCGATGCGGAGGGGCGACGAGACATCGGAGAGAAAAAAAAAAAAAAAGGGACCCTGGTTACCAGCCTGCTCAGGCTGCATGCATGCAGCTACTCGGGCTCGCTTCGTTTGAGGTGATCGGGTCTCATGAGCACAGCGTCTCAAGTGAAAGGTGCAAATTGCCTTCCAATTTCTCAATGACGGAGCCTGTCTGTAGGTGACAAGGTGGGATGCTGCACATGTTGATAGGGGTCTCGGTGATGAGATCGGGCGAGCCAGCCCGTCTGAAGTTGTCGGCGCCTGTTTCACGATGAAGGGGTCGGTCGCCTGCCTCGGTTGTCGAAGCTTGCTATTCATGGTGCTCTTTGGCCGGGAGCTCCAGGAAAGATGGTTGGAAGATGGGGTTTCACATGTGAAGCATTCACAGTGAGCAATGTCGCTTGGAACTCGAAATGAGAAATCGTCCGTATGCAGACAAAGAGGATCAAACTTGAATTGGACACCGCAAGGCAACGTGGCCTGACAGCAATTCGACCAGAAACGACCAACACCATGGACTTCGAGATGATGGAGAACCAAGATGGAAAAGAGCGCCGAAATGATGTGGTGGTGGCCAGATGCGCCACGAGATTGCATTGGCCTCGTCGTGACGGAGGGCAAGAAGCGATCATCAGGTGTGGGCCTGAACCCGACTTTCCTGGTCAGAGGCCACTGCTTTGTCCACACGCGCTTGATGCCTCCTGCCCGACTGGCCAATCCTGGGCGGCGTAATATTGACAGGATGGGAAAGTACGCCCTCTGGACAGGTCGCCCCTTGCCTGCCAAAAATGGATCTGTTACAGGTACCTGCAGTTCGCGAGGCAGGAGCGATGGGAGGGTGTCTGCACTGTGCGCTCCGTCCTTCCGAGGGTGGGGTAGTCGAGATCATCCCAATTCAAAGATGGAGTCCTGCACGATGTGGACTGTATGCGCACAGTACATAGAGATGAGACGGAAAGAACTGACCGGCCTACCTACCTTACTCCATGAGAACTTCCTTTCCCCCGTCGTCGTGTGCCACGCCAGATCTTCAAAACTCCCTGCATTATCTTTGTGCGAGGCGTTAGCACAGACCGACTCCGTTGTCCATTCCCATGAAGACGGACAATCAGATTGCCTACCGATCTTTTTCGTTATCCACCCCAGATATCTTGGCTCGGTTGCTCGACCGTTTGCCATCAGCCTTCAACAGGACAGGTTGATCGATCAATGTGATGAAAAGACGCCTCTTTACAATGCAGACCATGCGAAAGGACTTCACAAGACCCCGTCCGCCTCCAGAACGATGACTCAAAAGCTTCTGTCCATGCCTTGAGCTATTCTGGAGCATCGCACAGACTTCTCATGACATGGGGGAAACGAGGCTGAGCCACGAGGAGCATGGTCGCTTGACCAGATCTTCACCGTCCTGACGTCCTGGCCTGGCCCAAGCCTGGCAGACACCCGAAGAACGGCTAAAGTACCCCTTGTAACCTCTTCTGTCACGCTTGCCACGGACCCTGATCAATGCTGACCTCCGCAAAGGTCTCGTCCGTTGAAGCTCCATGTCGACGCATCTTGCGCAGCCTAATTGTGTTCTCCCAGGCCCTGTTATCAATGGTCTGCTAGTCAGCCAGTCACTCGTCCCAGGAACAGGATTGAACGATGTACGAGCCACCAATGCTGCCAGATGGATCAGGCCTCCCTCGTCGATACCAGGCCAACAACAACGGCGTCCCCTCCCCCATCTGCAGACCACGCAACTCATCGTCTTTGCCGCTAAAACAAAGTGGTCCTCCCGTCCCCTCCACTCCGAAAGGGCCTGTTCGGCCAGAGACGAGACACCGGGTGTGCCGACAGAGGTCAACACCAAGCCGTGGTAGCGTGCCGGTACCACCCCTGCTGCTGTTACACTCAGTCTGGAGTCCTCAATCCAACCAGGTCAGTTAGCCAGCCAGTCCATCCGCCAACATACTAGGCCAGAGGACTCAGTCCCTGGTGCCCTACAAGTGGCCGTCTGTCGTTCAATCGCCCTTGTGTGGTCAGAATTCCATGCCATAGCAAGCATGGTATAGCGAGTCTCCTTGGCGGCCCATCAGGTCCATGCACGCCCTCCCAGCTTCGTCTTCTGATTGCCATCAGCACTCACACCACGAGCGCACACACCTGTCAACAGAACCGACCACATCTCTCTCCTCATTCTTCTCCCCCTCATCCTTTCACTCCCCCTACTTGGGGCACCCCGGCCGGCAAAGCTGCAGCGCACTTCGGCACAGACAATGCCAGGCCCTGTCGGTCGACCAGGGTGATCGTTATGCCATTAAACAACGTCGTCATTGCTCCCATCGAGTTGCTCTAACTCGACGACACCCCCGACCAAGGCCAATCTATCATCCATTGCTTCACAGAATACACTTCCTTGCTTGCGGACTCTCCGTGATCCTTGAGCCGCGCCACGATTGTGTCGGTTGAAGAATCGGTCTTGTCATCTCACCATTTCTCCGTGCCAGGCTCTTCTCGGTTTCAACTTCATACTGCATCAGACGCCTTGGAGACAGACCGACTAGAACTGCAGCAGAGGTGTCAACGGTCCCAACTCTGCCCTTTCTGGTTCAAGTACAGGGTGAATTCGTGCCTGCTCACGCGCTGCACCAGGATAGGCTCATCCCCTGTGCTCCGGACCCTGGAGTACTCTAGCCATCACTCACGGTCGAGGCATACTGCGAGTCTCTACCTACAACTGCCTGCTCGTCTTGCATTCCCGTCCCATGCCAGCTATACCTAGTCAGCTCAGTTATACCCTCTCTCCACTCACGTACCTGAGTCACCCCCCTCCTCAACTCACACGGGGCGCATACAGGCAGTGTCAGTCCAGACGCGGGCCTGACCGTCCATGCCTCGATACGTCGCTCTTTCGCTGCTCCATCCTGCAGATTCTGTCCCAAAACAGACGCACGCGCCAGTGGCTACTCACGCCAGGTACTTTCACCTGCACCCCGTGTGCTTTGAGTACTCTACACGCCTAACGCACCTCCCCCGGTTCGCCCGTCTGGGCCTGGGCCGTCATTTGCAGCTCACCTTCCGCTTTACTGTCCACTCCACCTCACCCATTCTCCACAGCACGCTTGCCTGGCCCATCACACTCTGCCCTATCCGATCTGACAAGGGCCAACACTCGATCCTGCCTTCCGCCTCCCGCCTTACTCCGAAGCATAGAGTAGTGCGACTGGCGGGCCAAGCGCAGGGTAGCAATAGCATCCAAGCATCTGCGAGCACGGGGTACCGGTGCTCGCAACAGATTCTGTGTTCCGCGTTGCGTCTCTCGGCGCTACTCCCACTACATATCTGCTAGAAGCCGTCTCTTGACCTCCCAGGTGACGTCCAATATTCACCCTCAGAATTCTTGCGACGAGCAATCACCATCATCCCATCAGCGTCAAGGCATTGACGCCACCCCGGTATACGCAGGCGCGTCTCCCATCATCCGAAATCTAGCCCCTGCACCCTGTGTACGATCACCGCGCTTCGACGACCAGGGGCTCGCCCGGCTCGGGACCCTTTCGAACTACCCGCGCTCAGACCTTGAAGAACCCCTCCCACCTTGAGCCGTACAAAGTTCGAGGATCCCCCGCCATTCAAGAGTGTGCTCTACCTGTCGATCTGTCTCTCTTCTGCCATCTTACGGATCGACTCCGCTGGATCAAAGCATTTCGACATCAGACGAAAGCGGATTCAGTCTTGCACATTATCTTTCCATCTTGCTTGGGTGTTTAGGATCCATCTCAATCACCTACAAGCTCGAGAGCGCGTCAGCCTGCTTAGGCGAGAGAGTTCCGACAACCTAGACATCTTGCAAAGCAGCAGGAGCTTCCGCATTTATTCAAAGCAACAGATCAACCGTGTTCGACAACAGACCGTCACAAAAGTGCCAGACTACGATTCCGTCTTGGCCGACGGGCAACTCCTGCCTGGTGCTCGACGTCAAGGCCCAGAGTGCAAAAGGAGCAACGCTGGGTCGTTATACCAGCGGGACTTCCACATCTTGCTTACTGGTCAGAGGCCGTCGCTCGACAAGATGGCAGGTCTTGCCAATGTTCAGTCATATTCTGGACTTGACTCTCCGCAAGACCCGGTCATATCGACTGGCGACTACGTGCTCACAATGTGCCAAGAGCCAGTCATTGGCCTTGTGGCAGGTGGGAAAGACAAGGGTGAGCATTATTGTCCGCCTCAGATCCGTGGGTTTCTGACACGTACCAGATCGGAAGCCACTAGACCCTCCTCCAGTTGTGAAGCTCGACGTGTCACATCAGCGCGATCCAGCAGGACTCTTCCTATCGAGTAAGACAGAAACCAACGAAGGATCAAATCGTGCGAAGCTAATCAACCACAAGATCCATACAACTTCCTTACATGCCATCTAGTCAAAGTCGGAGACCACAACATCGAAACGCCCGTTCCCGGAAACAAACTCGTCGGCACAGTCGTCTCTTCGCTGCACAGACTCAAAGACAAAGACAATCAGGATGTGGCGTATTTTGTCTTTGGCGACGTTTCTGTCAAAGTAGAAGGGCGTTTTCGTCTAGTTTTCACACTTTTCGACATGGGCGGTCAAGACTGCACGCAACTCGCGTCGATCAAGTCTCAGCCTTTCAATATCTTTCCGAACAAACTATTCCCAGGTCTCAACGAGTCAACCTACTTGACCCGGGCGATCAACGATCAAGGCGTGCGTGTCAGAATACGCAAAGACTCTCGGCAATCTCAGACTTCGAAGCGCAACAAGCGAGTTGCTGAACGGTTCAACGACTACATGGACAATACTCGGCCTCAGCAGCGCCAAAGAATTGGCTCATCTGCTGGCTTCGTTACCCCAAGCCTGGGCGCCAGTTCGTCACAGCAATTTTCGTCAACGGTCGCAGCAAGTCATGGCAGCGCATCAGCCTCGCTGACACAGCAAGCCTCACACGCCCCATTACGCTACACTCTGGGTTCCTTTGCGCAGCCGAACCTCAATACAGGAGAAGGGGCAGCGCATGAACACCCACGTCAATCCCTAAGCATACTACCCGGCCTGGCTTCTCACCGGAGCCAGGAGGGTCTTCCTCTCGGGGTCAATTATCCTTCAAGCGGCGTGGGCATGGACAACGTCTTTGGATCCTTGGCTCCTAACATGAGCATGAACCCGTTTCCCTCACCAGCTCACAGCAGCGACAGTGGCCTTCCTTCGAGCGTCAGCATGCATGGCAGCAGCGGCCCCCCAGCAGATCGCTTCCCTGATTCGGGCCACGGATTGTGGGGTCGAGACTACTCCTGATGTTACTTTCGAGACTCGAAATTGGACAAGGAGTTGAGTGTTTGCGGTGTTGTAGGTGCGGTTGCTCGTTCTTTTGGGAGGGATGGAGAGGGGGGACCAAGGGAGCTCGTGGTGGTTGGCGTCTACGGCATATACCCATGTGCAACTTTGTTTATTTTCCTATGTCGTTCGGGTGTGAGATGGCGGACTAGAGTCCTGAACCACACATACATGTACCACGGTTCACTTTTACCCGTCTACCGTATTCTTTGTACATGTGAGCCATATCTCATTCTAACAGACCATACCATTGGGGCTTCCTCGCCTCTGACTTTTGCTGTTGATCCCCGGTTGGCATATTAACCGTGGATGCCTTTCGACCCCAGGTTGGATGCGTGCATGACTCAGCATGCTCGTCCCCTTACCCAGAAGTCATGCACTGTGGTCAAAGCGTTTCTTGGTGCCATGAACACAGCCTTGTCTGCCCAACACGGCTTCTCCACGCGGACGAGTTCTGCGACTTGCATCTGAATGACTCCCATGACCAATCCTGCCCGTCAAGGGTTAACGACTCGGTCTTCTTTCATGCACTCGCGCACCTGCCACCTCATCGTCTCACCTGCGACAGCAGATCAGGACGCGGATCGCCGCACCCCTTGCACCCTTTGTTTGACAGAGGCGCGTCAGAGGGCGACGACTCGGCGAAGGCCGACTTTGGGATCTCGGTCTCGATCCGGTCGATCATGATGGCATCTGCTACGTCTTCGGAATCATTGAGGCCCTGATCACCACAGGGATCGCTGAACGAACAGGTCAGATGAACAGTGTTCGTCGCGTTCGCGTTCGACCTGTCGTGTTTGATCGTCTCCAGGCGTCGCCTCGTCGCAGGTTTTGGAAAAAGAGGGGGGACGGGGGGGCTGAGCCTCGCCCACATCCCTGTCAGCTTATGAACGACGTGTGTGTGCTTTTCTGACGGCATTGAACTTGGAGCCTGCTTCATCATAACTGATGAAAAAAGGGCACTTCACCAACGCAGGGGCGCTGGAGAAGCCATTGGCCAGGCAGAATGGAGATGAGCTGGTTTCTCGCCGCGTGAAGCAGTCATCCTCAGGAGGCGATGCTCCGAGAGGCCTCATGGTTTCTGTCGGCCTCGACTTCGGTGCCCAGATGTCAGCCGACGGGAAGTTCAGGTTGGCGCATTCGAGAGGCAGAAATGGGATCGTGGAGTCCGATGAGGGGAATGCCGGCATGTGGCAACGAGCAACAGCAAACCACGTTATGCAGGGCCCATCTTGAGGGGCTGCACGCAATCCGACTCTATGCTGACAACAAGCTAGGCAGGCTCATGCGGTGAGCCACCGGTCGAAATGCGACGCAATTGATGATGGGAATGATGAAGTCATTGGAGTAGGACACGGAAACTATTTCAAGCCCTGCTCTTCACCCTTACAAGCCTGCAAACTGTGTGGCAACTCTTACTACACTTCCGCATGTCACTTATGCTTCCGGCTAGGCTTTTGAGAAGTTTACGTCTTGTCGACGTTCCCTCCAAGCTGTATCTTTGGACGTATCTGCGACAAGATCACCGCGGACATACTCCGTGATGACCGGGGCAATGAGCTGAACGGGTGAGAACAAAGATAATTCGATCGTCCGGATCACATTTGACTTATTGGAGGTTCCTGACCAAACTCGTCACAAGATGAATGTGGCCGGCGAGTTTCCTCAAGAGAATGACGCTCTCGGAGTTTCGGTGTTCTTTTCGGTGTTGATCAGGTCAGGCGCCCGCTGAAGACCTCGGTGTGCCACATTTACCGTTGGGTTGCAATCCTTCTGTCAGACCTACGGTCAGATCTGCCGTCGAAAGGGTGACTCGCTCAAGCCTCAGCCAACTACTTTACCTCACACACAAAGGATTCGCTTGCCGAAAGTCTTTTACGTTCATTCACACGTTGTACTATGGGCCAACCGAAGAATACCTCATCAACAGATCCACCTGCTGTCAGCATGGCAAACCAAGCTGGGTAGGAGCAGGGAGTGGACAGAATTGTTGGGGCTGCCGTCGTCTTGCCACAGCTGTCTTCAGTTCCGACGATAGGACAGGAAAACAGGATGTCAACGGTGGCCATCCGCCCATTGGGCAGATCACCATGCCTGCTGCCGCCGTAATATTCGTGAGCCGCCCTATATCAGGCGTCACATAAGACATGCCGCCATTTATCTTTCGTGTAGCTCCGGGCCAGCGTGACCCTTTTCGGATTCCTTGATATGGCATGGAAGGGCCTCGATCTCGGTGGTCGCAGGCTTGTTCATCGGCGCCGCCTGGTCAACTAGGTCTTTCCGGGCTATTCCCCTTTGCCCCTCCAAGTGAGTACCGTAGGCGATTTATGAAGTTTTCATATCTCCGTTTTTGCCTGCTGTGTAACATGGTGGACGGGGAGGCCCGCAGAAGCTTGGGCTCTCTCGTGGCCGTTGCGAGCTCCAGAACCGAAGAGGAGCTACCGAGCCGACGTGTTTACCGGCCGGGTAACTTCACTGAGCCTTTTCCTCCTCGGTCCATCACTCCACACCCTCTCTTTACCTGGGAACCTGTCCCGTCCCACGGCGAGCAAACCAAAGCAGGCCATGCATGCCACCTGCAGCGTCGCTATGGCCAGACGCCCCAGCAGCATCCCAAGTATCAGCGCCTCAACGGTGACCTATGCAGATCGCGACGCGCACGTCAAGCCTTCTTTTTGCCCCGCCTCC